TACTGCACATACAGTGAGGTGTGTGGCTGCTGTAACTAGTCCAGACTGATGCGGATTGTATAGTGCTGGCCCAATGAGATACCATGCCGCAGTTTAGCATGAATACCCCAAATCACACACAGTATACCCACTCCGAGCCGACCAGTCCTTGTTTAAACACCCTTAATTCCGAGCGCCAGACAGGGTGACAACAAGTACCATCTCTAAACGTTTTTTGGTGAGACGGCGGGGGACCGAACCCCGGACCTTCCGCTCTCCGGGCGGACGCTCTACCACTTGACCACGGAGGCGGTTGATTGACATCATGAGCATTAATCTCCGTAATTGAAATGTGATGTAATGCATCAACCAAGTCAGCGAGCCTGACCACCCGATCCCATTAGTCGCCTTTTATAACAAACATGGGTTGCTGAAGACCTATTCTAACCCAGATCACGGGTCGTAAGTCTGATGTAGTCATACACACATATATGAACTAGCTACCGTCAGCTGCCACTCTGGACATCACCAATGGACGCTGATGGAAACCCCGCATCATGACACGTTTCAGGTACTGCGTTAAGACACCTCGTCGTGTATTTTGTGCTGTTGCCTTGAGACAGACACTGTTTTCAGAAACCACTTTAGGGATACTGTTTGCAAACAATGTTCTGGATACGCCACCACACCGTTTAGCTCATACTGCTTGAACACTTCGCTCCACGACAACTGCCTGATGTTGGTGGATATTTCATGGGCACTGCAGTACTACACTTCTTCATTTGTGCTGATTTAATCTGTATTAGGCCATTCCATGGATACTGCTTCATTGATATGCATTTAGCCATTTCATAGATGCTAGAACTTCTTTGACACTGTATTAAACCATCGTTTCATGGCTACTGCTTCAATGATACTGTATTACACCGTCGTTTCATGGCTACTGCTTCAATGACACTATAAACCGTTGTTTCATGGCAAGTGCTTCAATGACTGTATTAAACCATCTTTTTGTGGCTACTGCTTCAATGATACTGTGTTGAACAATCGTTTCATTGCTACTGCTTCAATGATACTGTATTAAACCGTCGTTTCATGGCTACTGCTTCAATGATACTGTATTAAACCGTTGTTTCATGGCTACTGCTTCAATGATACTGTGTTAAACAGTCGTTTCGTGGCTACTGCTTCAATGATACTGTATTACACCGTCGATACATGGCTACTGCTTCAATGATACTGTGTTAAACAGTAGTTTCATGGCTACTGCTTCAATGATACTGTATTACACTGTCGATTCATGGCTACTGCTTCAATGATACTGTGTTAAACAGTCGTTTCCTGGCTACTGCTTCAATGATACTGTGTTAAACCATTGTTTCATGGCTTCTTCTTCAATTATACTGTATTAAGGCGTTGTTTCATGGCTACTGCTTCAATGATACTGTAATGATATGTGACGAGCACACGCTTTAACTACTAGGCTACCCAACCGCCACTTAACTTTTAATGGATACTGCTTCATTAACATAAAGACAACAAACATAACCAGGTTTTCATGTTTTAGTTGCAAAATATGATCATGCACAAATCATACTTGTAATTGTTAATAAATGTTAAGTTCAAAGCTTTTTCAGACTCACACTCATTCTTCAGATTGTATCTCACTGACAAATGTAACAACACTTATGTGCCACACATATCCATTCAGGAAACAATAGAAAATGGTCATACTTACATATGTACATGCAGGCTTTTCACCTGCCTAACTCAACATGGGTACAAGTTGGGACAATGAAAAACAAGCACAGCTAACCCAAGCTTTCTCATTGCTTGCTACAGGTTCCAGCCACAGGCCTTGGTGATGACACGACAATTTATTATACATCATACGTTATGGAAACAATATCTTAACTTTTCTCTCATCCTGAAAAAACCAACAATATCTAACAGTAGAACTTAATAGATCCCTGCCATCACAATGAAGCTGGTAGCCTTTCAGCGGGACAAGAAACCATACTTTTTCCACCGACACTCAAAAAGGTTCACCCCTCATCCTGATGTTTCAAACACCACCAAAGACATCATATGTATCAAAGATAATGTGAAACAGATAATATTTAAACTCAGATACAAATAGAGAAAATGTGGCAGTCGTTACATGTCTTTTGCTGATATGCATCCCCAGACTATAAATTCATGGTAAAACTGATTCTAAACAAAGAATTATTCAGCATCATAGCTGCCGACTTGTCTCATTTGAGATTGTAAGGGACCAACAATTTGAGATTTATTTATTTTTATTTTTTGAAGAAGGGGGGGAGAGAGAAGGAGAAGAGATGCCTGGGATTTTATCCCAAAATAATGAATTGTCCCCCCCCCAAATCTTGAAAACAATAGTTATGCTTCAGAAATAGCTTGCCACAAAAAATACATTGATGTAAGGCGTTTTTCTTAAAATAGATTCAGGTTTAAATTTTTAAAAATCTGGTTTTGTAGCTGTAAAAATATCTTATCTCAATACCAAATCCCAGCATACACACCCCCCACCACACACTTCTCAAATATCAAATTGTTGGTCCCTAATGCATGCAGAATTCATGATTAAACTATGTAACATGCATTTCATGAACAATTCCTTGTCTCAACTAACATTCTGGGACTACAGTATTCAGTTCAATTTTGAATAATTTGAATGACAAAACAATCCCTCACAATTCAGACATCACCAAATCTGGTATATATCATACAAAACCTCGGGTATAAACTCTGTGCAGCATGTTGTATGTTCTGCTCTGTAGACAAGGTTGGGAAGTAACATTCATCTGCATAAAGTACATTGGAATACAATGACATTCTTGGCTGTATCAAACATGCGACAGTTTGGGCAGGTGAGTCCACTTCTACATGCCTCAAGGGCTGTTATAGTTGGTTGGCAGCTGAAAAGGGTTTGTACATAGCCACATCTAATGTACTGACTCTCACACTGTAGTAAAATCACTGAAAGTGATTCAGAAAACAATGGAACAATGGAACTTGCAATAACAATAATTCCTTTCATTTAGAACTTCATCTAGCATTACATCTGAGAACATGTTGTCTTGGTTTGACACCCCTATCCCAAGGCAAATATGACAACATGCAAATAAACTACATTGTTTTTTTCTGCTGCAACTATATCACGGTAACATGTAATAACACCAAGTCTGGCCCTGGTGAACAAGTGATCAATGGCGTGACCACTAACCTAAGCCAGAGCACCCATGACTGTCAAGAGTTGGTGCTCCTCACTTCAATACCCAGCTACCACTGTGGCCACCACATCCTGTCCACACTAACAACTACTGGGCTGTGGGGATCGATTCCGCCAGAAAAACACTCAAAAAAGATGAATGGCGAGAAGATCTAAATCTGTAAAATAAGGTTTCAAGGTGGCAATCTTTACAATATCAATCAGATATGACATCATACATACAACTCAAAATGACAGCTAAGGACCTGACACAATGTTAAAAGAAGTCCAACAGTAGAAGTAATGTTGTGGAAGTATGGTTGATTATGCAATCTGTTTTCCATAGGTTCTACTATATCAATAACAAATGTGATGGTATATTGATTGTTTATGCAATGAAACAGACAAATAATTTGCATAAAGAATAAATACTCTATATACAATGGCAATAATAAATCCAGGTTTCACAGTGTAGGCTGCATGGACAAAGTTCACTGGACTTGCATGATTTCTTCATTAATACCAGGGGTCGATTTAACTGCTGGCCTGTTGGTCAGTGGCCAGTTTAATTATGAAAGGCTTGCTGAAACAAAGTAGATGGCCCATCTGGCAAGTCAAAGGTTCACCCCTTCTCTGTGTATGTTTAATTTTGATTGGACATTGCTCGTGAATCATGTAATTTCAATGAGAAAATATTTAGGGGAGATGAGGTCGTGTGAATGGTTGGCTCAAATATCATCTTGGAAGAATGACACAACCGGCAGCCATTTTGTTATCTTCTGCACAACCCACATCTTCATTTGCTTATAAAATCGCCACAAAATGAGGCAAATGGAAGCCAAGATTTAATCTCAGAGTGCAGGAAATGTCGTTTGAAGGGTGAGGAGTTCTAAAATTTTCGGTGCCATCTGGGTATTTCAGTCGTGGCCTCCAAAATTTAGTTTTGCCAGTTAGTTTGGAGAGGAGCAGGACCAGCTGGCTACATATGAACTTGTTGCTAAATCTACCCCATGGTACGACTTTATTTTATTTCATTACAGCCTCCTCAAACATATCATAGCTATTGCAATGGAAATAAGAAATCTGGGGGAGTGAGGGAGTGAGTTGGGTTTAACGCTGCTTTTAACATTATTCCAGTTATATCGCGGCGTGTCAGCTTAATGTGAGAGGAAAGCCCAAAGTGATGCAGGTCTCAGTCGTTAAGCGCTTCGGTGAAACCCACGAGCATGGGTATGGTGCTGACAAACCTAGAAACACAACTGGGGCGAACCGGGATTCGAACCCACAATCATAGGTTTCTGGCATGCCGAAGGGACGCATCTCTGCACAGCGAATCGCGGCTCCTTAGACAACTGGACCACCGGTGCCCCCCGAAATTTGAGGAAGTGAAGTGGGTGGTGATTGAAGTAAAGGGCAAAATAACAGTTAGGATGTGCATCTATCTATTTCAAGAATGAAGTTGATTAGAAAGTGGCGAGGAGAAAAAATCTGCCGGCTTCTATAGAAAGTGTCCTACGACAGCTATATTCAGTGCTAGTCAAGCAAGCTAGTCCCTCCTAATCATATTATTAATGTTCATGGTAATCATACAGTACCCATTTTTGTGTCTAAAGTGTATTGTAAAGTTCAACCTTTTCATGACCCCCAGTGCTTTTATAACAAAGAACAGATCAGTGATGTGTTCAGTCAGAATAACATTCCCCATGACAAGAGGCATGAACATTAAACACTTGTCTACACATTTCTAAGTAATAAGCAGCGATCGTATCCCCCACCCCCACCCCCACCCCCACCCCCACCTTCTCCAAATGTTTTAACTCACTATCTCAAAAAGTATGGAAAATGACAAAACTATTGGACAGTGCCTACATTCAACAAATGGTTTTATTATACTAATATTACCCTGAAACAAAACAACTGATCAGGGCGCTACACATTGCAGAAATCCACCTTTTCATGTATTTCTCGGCTAAATAATATTCCATGGTTTGTATGTCTCAAAGGCTGTTGCTGTTTGAAACTAGGCCTTCTATCAACAGGATCCAAAATTTTCAGGATGAATTGAAATCCGCAGAATTTCCATCCCTGAGAATAAAGTATAATCCCATCAACTTAAATTTGACGTAAAAATGATCTGACATTTCAAAATAACGAGGTACAAACTGTCAGTCTGACTGTTCTCAAATCAAACAATATGACAAATGTACACATAGTCATGGCAACAAGTAAATGCCACAACACATAATCCACAGGATCATCAAGATTCTGATTTATGGCCTTCAACAAATGATCTTTTCAAATCCTTCTCCTCTTACTAGTTAAAACTGAACAAAATTGGTGATTATAGCTTTCTTCATATGTTCATTAGGGGATGATATTTCATGGCACGAATAATAAGAACAAAGACACACCACACTCTTTCATGGAAAACTGAGTGTGTTTTACATAAAGATCTTGAACAGAATGATTAAAACAACACTTTCTCTGGTTGGAAATATACATAACACATTAAAAAACATACCTTAATGTACATCTAATGGATATTATAAACTATTGAAGTTAACAAGCTCAGGGTTCTTCCCAGTGGTACTATGTACAACCTATTAACCTATGTTATTATGACCGGGAATATCTGGTCCCTCCTTCGACTGCGTCTTACACCTATTTGTCCACAAATTACACAGAAAGGGAAGGATTAGTGTGGATATCATTTTCTCTAATTTTCTGTCAATAACCTCCTCCACTTCATCTCTGTAAGACCGTGGTTCTATGAACTAGGTACATCATTTTATGCCTAATTGGTAACCATGGTTACAGATCCACACATCCCGATGGAAACAAGATGGATTCAGTTGACGGAAGAGCATAAAGCTTGTGGTGATGGGGGAACGCAAGGAGTTTTAAACATGTCCACACACTGAGTGACCACACACATGTTCAAGTAACACTGTTTCACGTCATTCAGTTCGCTTCACCAGTTCATTCTGGTTTTCGAGTGCTCCAGACCAGTTTAGTGCTGTTTGAACTAGCCTGACTGTGTCAGTGCAAGCTCTGAAACTCATCTGAAGAGTTGGAGCTATCACTGTTCATGGAGGGCGAAAAGTCCTCTTTGTAAGTCTCTCCGTTCAAGTCTTTCCTACACACAGGGCATGTTCCATGCTGCAAGGCAGAGAAGAGTTGACCATTATCACATCAAAAATTATAGCATGCAGTGGCAGAAAGTGAAACTGTGTTTATATGGACAGTAGTTTTCCCAGGAAAATCATTCAGATTAACAAAGCATGACCATCCCTCAGCGACAGAAACTAACTGCTTTTGTCCACTGGTCCTTATATTGATAACACTCACAAAAGCCTTAAAGAGGTCACATTTTTACTGGTCCTTAAATATGATACCTTCACTATTGGGTATTTTGGCAAGGACCATAGACTAGTGCCAATTTCTAACGCTGCCTTGGAAATTCAGGTCTTTTTAAAGACTACTCCAGATTACAAGAGGAAACTGTATTTCACTAGTCATTAGAATATACAGCTGGCCCTGTTTGAAAGAGACAAAAATCTTTACCATGTTTACATTGCCTGCCTGTTTTGCACAGTTCCAAATTGTAGAAAAATTAGCACTGAGAGCTGGTTCAGACTTACAGTCTATGAGCAAACCACCATTGGATTTTTAGATATTCTCTCCACAATTTCGTAGTCTTGGTCTAGCCTGAATTTCAAAGGTTGGTGAATTCTAAGGAAGAGCACTTTACATGGATTATTGTTCGAAGAAGAATTCATCCAGAAGGAATAAAATTTCTACATTAGCAAGGTCCACACTAACAAGGTTTCACTGTATCTACCTTTCAGGCAATGCCTACATGTTTTCACATTTCATGATCATGTTGATCAGTAATCTCTAAAAGATATGACCAGTGTTTCCGTTTAGATATACATTGTCCGGTTCACTGGACTGCCATCACTTAACATACTCAATATTTTGGACCAATAGGGTTTATTTTAACAGTAGACGGCCAAATCTACCAGGAAATTATTGGATGTAAATTATTGGACCAGACATATTTATTTACAGACTATACGTAATAGCCGAAATATCGCTGAATGTGGCTTTAAGCAACAAACAAATCATTAAACATGGTAAGAAGAAAAACTGGTCCAAGCCTTATCTTTCGGTAACATGCCCCCCACCAGAAAGGAGACTTCATTTTTCAGGTGTTTTTCTGATGTTGACAGAACTGTAACAGTTTTGTTCAGCATGGTATTGACAGTGGGACACTCACCAGTTCCAGCCACTTGTTGATGCACTGTGTGTGATAATGGTGTTCACAGGGCAGTTTCTTGGCTTCCTCTTCAACTTGGAAATCTTCCATACATATTGAGCACTGAAGGACGCGTTCTGAATTTAAGGCGAAATAAAGTCATATAGTCAAAATATCAAATATGGTGCATAGTCAGCAATAATTACTTGCATTGCAAAATAATGAAAATTGATTCATATTTTGAGAAATATATATAGATACATACAGAAATTAAAATATCTATCAAAAACCTGTATCAGCTTGAGAATGTGTTGTTCTATAACTGAAATATATATATTGGTATCAATTTAGAAGTCTGCAATAATATATTGACATTTTCATTGGATGCAAAGTATAGCAATATGAGCCAGACTATGAAACAGATCCTAACACTTCAGCAACCCATGTTTGTCATAAAGGGTGACTAACGAGACCAGGTGGTCAGACTCCCTGATTTGGTTGATGCAGGTCATCGTATCCCAATTGCGTAAGTCAATGCTCATGATATCAATCACTGGATTGTCTGTCCCACACTTGTTCATTTACCACCATCATATAGCTAGAACATGGCTGAGTGAGACATTGAACAATAAAGAAACAAACATTGAGCTAGTGGTTTAGGACCAAGACCCGAGGATACACTAAGTTGATGAAGATGTAAGAGGGCTTACGTAACACAATGACAATAACTAGAAAGTGTACTGACCTGCTTGTTCCTTGGTGATTCTAACTGTTGGTAGCGAATCGATCTTGTCTTTCTCTGCTGGTGGGGCGCCGGCACCCTCTAACTGGTTCAACAACTGTATTAACACACACAACCATTACAAATGAACACAACAAACTTCCAAGCAAACAGTAAACCAAAACAAAATTATCACCATCATCTCTTAACAACCGCTTAATACTAGCATTTATTTCAGACTAAACTCTGATAAATGCATATCAAGGGAAATAACTTACTGAATTACCTCCCTTTTCCTTGTAGTTTTTCATGTTAATAAGATCCTGGCATAATAAACAAAGATTAAAATTATTCTCCACTGATGACACATACAAAAGAATACATATACCTGTTCATCATAAGAGAATATATCGTTCTTCTCGGCAAGATAACATATTTCAAACATAACGGACATGGTCATACCTGAAAAAGAATATATTGTACTTTTCTTTGATGCAATGATCTTGACAATTCACTGCCCAATCTTATAAAGGAAGAAATGGTACACTCCACTCTTGACAGTTAGCACTAATGAAATACTAAAGTACCAGTTTCTGCTTAAATAGAAAGTGGAGGTTTCTGAACACCATCGCCACTATAAAGTCTTACATGTGTAAATGATAAACAAAAGTTTTGATGGTGGTCTGATTTGTGGCCATCTTGAGTATAATGGTCAAACCTCAAATCCATCTGCGGGGATAAATGAAATGGCCAAAGCCCCAGACCCACCTGCGAGATTATGTGATCGAGGCCCCCTGCTCCCCATGCATAGTCTCCTGGGTTGCCATGGAGATGAAACATTCCTCTGCAAATTGAAACAACAGTCAGTGTCAGCCAGATAAAGTTTTGTTTGTTTGTTTGTTTGTCGTTTAACGCACTCAGCAATATTCTAGCTATATGAAGGCGGTCTGTAAATAGTTGAGCCTGAACCAGACAATCCAGTGATTGACATCATGAGCATCGATCCACGCAATTGGGATACGATGACATGCATCAACCAAGTCAGCAAGCCTGACTACCCGATCCCATAAGTCGCCTCTTACGACAAGCATAGGCGCCTTTTACAGCAAGCACGTCAGATAAAGTGAACCAATGGTTAAAATTTTCTTCATTTCTGCTTCACAAAGACAATGGCTCAAAGATGTTGACAAATGTGCCATTACATAATTGACATCAGTCTTTGGTCCAGGTAAGCTAAAAGGCAAACACTTTTGACAGGCTATTTTAGAAGTGAATTGAACTTGAACCAATCAATGAAACAGGCCTTAATCATGTTAATAGTTAGCTCTACCTTATTTCACTGATTGCAATATTTTTTACAATATCAAGAAAATAAGGCCTGCAAATAAAATATTTGACAACATATTGTTCTTTCCAAATTTGCCTTTCACTGACAGCTATAGTGAGTGAGTGAGTTGAGTTTAACGCCGCTTTTACTGACAGCTATAAATCTTAGATAAATCCCTTGACCCAGTTACACAAAGCAATCTTAGCTCTAAGACAACCGTAACTCCCATACTTTAACACAGACTGAAGACAATCATAGCGTTAGGATTGCTTTGTGGAACGGGGCCCTGCACACATCAAAAGGACATATTGTTCCTTCTGTCAGTTACTTCCTGTACGAGCTGTACTTACATAGGGGAGCCACCTTGCCCTGCCGGATCTACACCCAGCCGAGATATAAAGTAGTTTACTAATCTGAAATAGAACAATCACTTCATCAGCATTTCTGTCAACACCAAGAAGAAGCAACAATCAAGTTTTCATTATACTGTTAGCGCAAGTTTGTCCTGTTTTACATGCCTTTGAGAGAGTTGGGTTTAACACTGCTTTGAAAGTTTTCCTGTTCTATCACCGAGTGTGAGTTTAATGTAAGAGGAAATCCCAAAGTGATGCACGTCTTAAACGTTACCACATTGGTGAAAACAACGAGCACAAGTATAGTGATAAAACTAATCATGTTGAACTGGGATTCAAACCCAAAAGCACAGGTTCCTGGCATGCCCAAGGGTTGCAACTCAGCGATTTGCCCCCATGCTTTTACTGATGCATCAGTTTAAAATAATAATGGTCAAAATCTTTTAGTGATGTATTGTGGGAGGAAATCAGCTCACCCTTCGAGGTAAGGATTTCTACTAGGGTTTGGACGCCCTCCTCTTCGGAACGATATCCTCGTCCGTGGTGCAAATCGGACCTGAAAGGGACGTCGACTGTCTCCCGCCTCCTCCGGCTCCTCCTCATCTGAATCCCTGTTCTGGGGCCAAGGCCCTGAACTGTCATTTCGATCAGTTGTATTATTTCTAAATGAATCGAGGAATGCTCTACTCCATAGCTGGAAAACAAACAATGATAGTGATTGTAGTGATGGAAGAAGAAACATAGAAGGAAATGTAAGATCACTAAAAAATAGAAATACTTTTGTTATTAAACATGTTAAAGGTATTATTACTATACAATCCTTTAACCTTTTTACTGCATGTGTTCTAATTGTAAAAGATATGTATCACACAATGCACTATATACTTCTTAAAAGAAGCTAAAGAATACCCACAGTTCAAAGGCTGTGTTTTGAAATATCAAACAGCCCTGTCACTACACTGAAATATCAAGTGATTGTGTTATGGTCACTGCAATGAAAATATCACTTTTCTCAACTTCGGAAAACTCAGTCTTTCACACTGAAGTATATAACAAATGTTCCTCCTGTGTAACTGGTACCGACCTCTGCAAACTGTGCTGCTGGGTCTAGCTCTCCTGCTGCGGGGGAATGGCTCGGAGACTCTCTGTAAGTGTAACCATGTTACATTGTGAACATCATTAACCAATTAACAGTAGCCATTTTCGAAGAAAACAGTCATCAATAATTTTCATATCTTCTGATAAGACATTGATTATTTCTACTAGCATGAGTGTGTTTGGTTTAATACCATTTGAGCAACATTCCAGCATAAGGGACACCAAGACTGGGCTTTGCACATTGTACCCATGTGGAGACTCGAACAAAATAATGAACAAATACTTGAAAAGGCTTTTTATTTCCACCAAGAGTTATGATTCTTAGCTGCCAGACTGGATCCATTGATTGTGAAATATGGAAACAAAAGAATTTCTTTTTTTAAATTTGAAAAATATGAAAAGAAAATATTGAGCATGTGGTCCTTGTGCATGTATAGTTTCATCGAAAAACATTAATTAGTTTACACTCTGAAATGAAGCCTTGAGTTTTTTTAGACCAATGTGTTTCCAATAGAAAGATTTCAAAATAGCAAAATGCATGGCAAAAGGCAATAGTTAACCTGATGAGCAATGCAAACTGTTGAAAGGTTTTCAAGTTATGGCCCGGAAACGAACCCTACCCTCATTTAAAACTAAGTCAAAATTGTTTCCATGGAAATCTAAAACATATGATTTGGAAAAAAATTAAAATAGCAAAAGGCACCAGTTAAACCAATGAGCAATGCATATGCCAAGTTTCATCAAAATATGCTGAACAGTTTACAAGTTATGGACTGGACATGCTGGAAACAAACCCTACCCTCATTTGAAATTAAGTCAAAATTGTTCCCATGGAAACATAAAAAAATATTATGTGGAAAACAATTAAAATAGCAATGGGCGCCAGTAAAGCCGATGAGCAGTGCATATGCCAAGTTTCGGGGAAAAACACTGGAAAGTTTTTGAAGTTATGGCTCGGAATAGGATAGGGAAGGGGACGCCGACAGCAACTAAGCCCAAAACATTTTTTATGGATTAAGCTATCAGAATTATGTCTCCACACAACATAATTCTGATAACGTAACACTTAAACAATCCCACAATATGTAAAGGTTATGCACAAATGAAAATTGATCGTTGAATGGGGGGCACGTGTATTGACTAAAATCTTCCATCCATGACATAATGGATTTAGAAGCTCTCGTTCAAAACAAGTTGAATTGATCTCAGGTTTTTCTACTCAGGATCGCCTATTTTGGTGTTCTACACGTAACAAAGACAACAAGCATCTGCAAATATATCCTGCATATGCTTCAGTAAATTGTTTATTGTTTTGTATTGATTTTCTAACTAACGTAATATAGTATTGATTGCCTTACTAATCTAACACAGATTCCATACGTAGTAAGTGAGTTAAGCTGAATGCTTTAAAAAGAGTATGTCAGCAACATTACTAACAACATGGCGTGTCAGTATAATCACGTTAATGTGATACAGATGTTAGACATTTATCACAAAACTAGAATCATAATCAGAGTGAATCTGGGATTCAATTCCACTATCACAGGATTCTGACATACCTAAGGGGCATGACTCTGTAGTGGTAGAAACTAACATGTTTAACCCACTGGACCTTATAATGATAACATATAGCCAAACCCTTAAAAATTGGCAAATATATACTTGACCTTGTGATGCCTATACTACATGGCCACCCATGAAGATCCGGGGTAGAAGAGGTCTCCAGCAACCCATGCTTGCCGTAAAAGGCAACTGACGGGGCCAGGAGGGGTAACAACAAGTACAATCTTTTAAGTTTTTAATGTCTTTTGGCATGATGCAGACGGGGATCAAATCACCAACCTTCCACTCTCTGGGCATATGCTCTATCTGCTAGACCACAGAGCAGAGTTTCACATGGCTGTCGGTCACCAGGCATAGACTAATAATATTTCAATTGGACAGATGGTTTGTTTAAGCATGTTGGACTTTTGACCGATAGAAACCCAAGGCGTCACGCATTTTATAATTTCATGATTAAAAAGTAAATAGTATCGATTTAATAAAACAATGCGCAGCCTTCAAATATCAATAGCTCCACATGTCTTTGCATCATACTTTCTGTATCATAGGGAAACACAGTCAGGAGCTATCTATAGTGACCTAGTCACACGCTTTTCCTATCACGGCGGTCATTGACCAGATTGTAAATACTCATCCTTCATGAACAGTATTGGATTGACTGTTGTTGTGGTTAGTCCGCCATTTTTGTTTATTTGACTTGTTGACGTTTGCCATTGACTTATTACATTTTTGGGGTCCAAGCCATTGACCAATATGCAGTTTCTTTGCGTCAAAATCACTGCAGAGGCAGTAAAGATGGCAGTCAATGACTTACAGAGAACGGAGCAGACAGTACTATTTAGGATCTGGGGCTGAGATTTAAACACTTATTCCTGGTTATATGCAGTTAGCTCTGACTGATCATTCATCATGTTCATCGATCATATTGGTTGTCCTTTGTACATTCTTATCTGAAATTTTAGAGAAGCTTTATCCTGAATGAAAATACTTGATTGTTTGCATATTGATGACGAACATGATGAATATGTTTATGAGTAACTATTACAGATCAACATGATCAAAGGAATTTTTTAACGTTTTCAATGCTAATTTGATATCAAACAGCCTCTTCCTTGGAATCAACTAAATAATGATAATGAACACTAATAATGGAACACTGCATCAGTACCACAAGGTAAATGATCAGTCACCGAAGAATTGATAATGCAATAAATCATCAAAACACCACTGGTATTATTACTACTCATAAATTACACAATGTCTTACATAACAGGTAAACTTAAGATAATGGTATACGTAGCATACTCACTCAGCCATTTGTTCAATGAAACCTCCATCACAACGGGGGCATGTGTAGTCCTGTGATACAAGAAACAATGATAAAACATGATAAAAACCATGGCAACAAAAGCGAACTCCCTTATCAAACAACAACTACATCAGTACATGTACACATATAAAGTTAATGTTACTATGAACAACATAGCTGGATTTCACCAGTCAGGGTGACCTCTTGTTTATGCAGGCTTTCGAGGGGTCAATTTTTTTTACTCTGTGTTGGACTTCAATAAGAGCATCTTAGAACTGTTTTGAGACATTTTATGCCCTTTTACTATTAGTTATCAAAGAAGTGCAAACTCAATGTAAGAAAGACATAAATAATTGTGTATATTCATGGTAATTGTATAATTTTTTATTCTGAAAAAAAAATAGCTGGGAATTGGTAAAGAGCTCACGGATCAGTGGCACCAGTTGAGAGAGCATGCAATGGCAATGTGTGCACTTTGTAGTGTTAATGTAATGTAGTTGGAATTAAAAATCCACATTTTCAAGAGGCCACCCTTTCTGACCATGTACATGAGGCTCCCCATGCTTTTCTGTCTGACTTTCCTTGTTTTAATTCCCATATAATAATATAACATACATGAACGAATGCATCAGGGACATCTTAATTTCCAGTGTTATCTGTCTTCATCTTCAGAACTATTGCACATAAGCAATCAAAGCATGATTGATGCTGTTTCTGAAGTTCACTGTATTTTGAAGTCTTTCAAAGAAAAGATTACAAAATGCACTTATTTAGTCACACCACACAACAATTACCATGGTTACCATGTTGATGAATCAGCGGACCCCTAAACATGACAAAAGCGAAATTTGTACCAAAATCTGAAAAGCACAATATTTTATTCCATTAAACTGCAAATGACACTGTAGTCTTTGTCTTTTACTTCCATCACAAAACAAATCGACCAGGTTGAATCTGAATGTTACATTGTAAAGCCCATCAGCATAAGATAAGCTCATCAAACACAGCACAAATGGCAACATATACATCTTAGATATGTTTGAAGAGCAAAGAAACAACTGAAATGTTTTGTTTTATTTTATTCTGTTTCCAACTCAACAACCAGGATGTTTGCATTAAACAAATCTGAAAACGGAAACAACTAGATATTGCAATATGGAAATGCATCTGTCACATATATATATCATGATAGTCAAATCAATCACATTCATAACCTCTGGTATCTCATGGACATACTGGTTTCATTATTCAACATGTTCAGGTTGTAATGACTATGAAATATAACTTACAACTGATGCTCACTGTGAATCGCAATCCATTTATCCATTAGCATGATAATGGGCACGATGTACATAATAACTACATTTCCATGATTTGTCAATATGTCTGGGATTTGCATTCATGAGGACATCTACTGAACATGACCGACTCATGATGGGGTCATTAAAAGAAAGTAAACCAAGTGTGTCTGAGGGTTAGACAAGTGTGTCTGCAGGGTTAGACATGGTGACCACTGTACATGGCTGAGATCAGTCAAATTCTAGAGTGGTTGTATCCTCCCCAAATCCAGTTATGTTACATAACCACTGGTCCAAAATGAGCTGGTGACTAGTGGGATATGACCAATGGTGCCTACCCATGAGTATGGTATTATCGCTGAACCAGTCACGCTACATCATGTGTGTGTCTACAGTCATTGTTTTCATTAGTACTGATGAAAAACCTGGTGCTGAGTTCTAATGGGCCTCAAACTATTATCAGGATTATATGTCTCAGAGCAGCATTTGCATGAATAATTTCGAAGAAGAAAATCACAAAAAACATCAATATCACCTAAACACAGATAACAGAATATCCAAACAGAGTTTAATTAATCATTTGTCCCCATCATGAGATGACTTCTGGAAGAGCTAAAATATTGGGTATGATTTGCACATCATTATCCATGAGGATATGGACAGGATGCTTCGAATTATAGGGATCTTATGCACTGAACATATCCAATACGAAACGAAGTACATCTAGTCAGTAAGGATGTGTTGGTATGCGTGATTATGGAGAGCTCTTAGCCATATATGTCTTATTGGTTTTCGATTATTTGAAAACTAAGCACTACCTGCGACACTGCATAACTTTCCCTGAATCTACGATGTTGAATCTACGCTCTGGTACTTCATTTTGTCAAACAAATGTAACGAAATAAGGATAAACATCTAAAGCAAAAGTACAGACATGAACTTACATGACCGATAGCAATGTCCCATATCGTGACGCGACGACACGCCCTTAGAACCAACCACAAAATACAAAACGATACAAAGGGTATATATATGGATAGATGGACATCACAACATATCACATACGCACCGGCAACTTCGGTGTTATTTCTTGGGTACACTGGTGGCAGTAAAATCTCTCTGAAGTTGAACTCTCTACTGCTGCTTCCGCCATTTTGTTACCCAGTCAACAATACTGCGCTCCACGTCATGAGTTCCTGCGCACATGCTGAGCCTCTCGCTCTTGTCAAATAAATAAGCACTGACTTTCCATTCGTTCATAAAGAAACTGTTAGAACAACTGGAGAAGTTTAAACCGAAAGAGCCTCAAATAATTCGTGTGACTAAACTAATTAATCACTTAGAAGATAGATATACACATAGTCAATCTTTGTAAGATTTCAAAAGGGAGGCTACATATTAAGGGGTGATGAAGGCCTATGTAGACACGACATGTAATTACTCGTGTGCTGTGAATTGTGACACATGATGTAATAAGGATGCTCATTTATTGCTTGATTGGCCCAGTAATAAAAGCCGAGCAGACGATAGACGTGTTGTTTTGCATGATTTGCATAACCATATTTCAAAATTTGCTATATAGTGAAATTTTCGGTTTTAGGCTCGGGTCTAAAATATGAGGTTTTTCAATACCCAGTTGCTTTTTAGATTTCTAAATTTTATTACTAAAAAAATTGTTTATTTTTCTATTGTTTAACGTCGCAGTCATCAATATTCTGCTACATATAGGACGACGGCCTGTATACAATAGAGCCTGTGTGGTCCAGACAAACCAGTGATTGATAGTATGAGTAACGTCCCACGCCGTTGGGTACAATAGCGTACAATCAGTAACCATGCAGCTTCGACTACGTTTATTTACAAATTACAGGGATATTTACATCAGGCAATATTTCTTTAATTTTAGGTCATTTATTTTCATTATTTTCAGTCTCTCCATTAATTTCATTTTATTGTTGACAGATACGAATCCCCTTGCAGTACATTTGATTGATGTTGAAAGAAATGAGGGTTGTAAATGATTATGTTGTGTTTGGGGAATATTTGAAAGGTAAAAAGGGTCCCGTTCTTGGTATCATCAAATTTTCATGAATTTGTTAACATGGTTCATATGCATTGTAATAAATTGCAAGCAAAAAAAAACGTAAACAAGAAATGTTTACAGCTCACAAAGCTAATCACGCTTAGAATCCCAGGTGTCTTGCACTCACCCATGTTATCAGCCAGACAGCCCAGTCCTACACAATGGGTAAAAATGTTTAATACTGGAAACCACGGATCACAACCATGACAATCTGGGATTCGATAAAACGATCAGCGGATCCTGGCATGATTGAGGTCGCAACTGTGAACATCGAATCCTGGTGCCTTTGTACTCTGCCTGAAGTAGCCAAAGTCTTTGACGACGATGATTTTGGACAATGGAACCTTGTTGGTATTAGAATGGGGATACATTCATTGTCAATTTGTTCAAAGTGGTTTGTTTTTTATCTTTTGATTTAACGTTGAATGTCTTGTGCATATGGAGTCTACCCATGAAAAATGTCAAGTATATTTTAAAGACTCCTTGAATTACAGAATGTATAAAAGACGACGGAATCTAGACCTCCCCATCTATTTCTGGAAACTCTCTTTTCGATCTGTCGATCTTTCGACAGATCGTTCTTTCGTGTCGCCGCTAGATTTTTCGTCCATCAAAATTCGATTTATGATCTCGCACTGTTGACTATTCCAAAACATCATAGTCGTCGCGTAGTAGTGGTGATACCTACGGGGTGCGACCACTTTAAATAACGGAATGGCCACCCTGCCTTTCGATTCGCGATAATCATCCACATCGTCGTCTTCATATGAGGGAGACATATTTGACTAACAGCAATCTCATTAAAATCAGATCTTAGTTCTCGCAACAGCTTTGTTTAGCGGTTGCGAGAACTAAGATCTGATTTTAATGAGATTGGACTAACAGACACTTCGTGCAAGACAGTTTACGTACGCTTCAGTGACTATTGACGCTACATACACAATGGCACGATAATTTCCCAAAATGTACAACTTCTACAACGGTACATATATACAGCAGTACATGTGTGGTAGTATCATCATATGCGATTTGATTTTATTTGTTAATGTTGGCATTTATTGTTTTAAAGTGTACCGTAGCCTTATAGACTGGAAATCTTTCTTCACTTTTAAGGAGGTGTGAGAAAAGATCTTCAGCAACCCATGCTTGCCGTAAAAGGCGACTATGCTTGTCGTAAGAGGCGACTTACGGGATCGGGGGTCAGGCTCGCTGACTTGGTTGATGAATGTCATCGTATCCCAATTGCGTGGATCGATGCTCATGATGTCAATGACTGGATTGTCTGGTCCAGACTCGATTATTTACAGACCGCTGTCATATAGCTGGAATATTGCTGGTTGTGTTAAACAACAAACAAAGATAGCAGTCTCTCACGTCTACCCATCCCTCCTCTAATTAGTCCACTATGACAAATTTCTCATAAAATGAGGGGCAAAAGAAAGTATACCGAGGTTTTTGTTATGTAATTGAAATGAAAAGAACTGTTAAGAGGATGAATAAATTATGTACTGTTGTCATGTAAACATAAATATTGTTTTCACTCTCTCAGTCTATGTTGACCTAATTTAGTGCTCACGGAATGCACAGAAATCATTTAGGCACCTTCTGATGCCGCGCTTCAACGTTTTCCGGTTATATTTTGTTTACCTTTTCAAGGCATCATACGGGACTCTCGACACAGTATGGAATCGCAGCACGGCTGATCTGAATTACTCCCTCTATTTTGAACGGATTTTACCAGAAAGGACGCTAACACGTGCGCAAGTTAAGAGAAACGTTCATTATTTTAGAATACAAAATAGCAGAATATACCAACTAAAATGTGCACACTAGATTCATATTTTTAACTATGTCATGCAAACTGACGTCATTTTTATACAATCCGTTCAAAATGGAGGGTGTAATTCACAACTGCCGTTCTGCGATTCCATACCGTAATGTGTTCAAATGTGGTTTATATCTGTTCAGCGCGTGCATTAGTTATTCTTGATCAAATGTGTGTTCTATCTACTCAGTGTTTGCTGTAAATACTTCTGGGCCAGACGTGGGCCCTGTCTGTATTCACTGTCTCCTCACGTTAAGGGAGTGGTATTATTCAGGATATACACGACCCACCATTATACTGATATATGTGTACGGATTCAATGAATTGAGGAGCAAAAGTAACTATACTTCTCAGTTAATTGAATCATGTTTCATTTTCAGTTGAAAATATCTGAAGTTAGCGATATTATATAAAAATAACAAATACATGTACCAGCTGGCGTTTAGTCAGCACGTGGTTATATTTTTTAAATATATATTTGATTGAAAACGTTTTAAAACTTTAAAAGATTTGTTTCGCACAGTTCACAACAGCTGATGGGTATATTAGAATCTTATCTCTGAAAATCAACAAATTTGCTTTTTCGGGACAAACTTACATTTCAGACATGGTAGGGTCCTGTGGTTGCAAATTCATTTCTTACCCCAGTCTTCACTGATCAAATCTGTTTTTACACAAAATTACCCAGCCACAGATTACTTGTAACAAACTGTTGCAGGAGTGAATGATGGTTGAATAAACATAATCAGAATTAAAAAACAGTTCTTTTAATTTTCTATTACATAAAAACACAAACTCGGATACTTTCTTTTACCCCTCAATTAATGAGAAATTCATTACCTTGGACTAATTCGAGGAAGCACGGGTAGACATAAGAGACTGCTATCTTTGTTGTTTGTTCCCGCACTCAGCTATATTCCAGCTATATGACGGCGGACTGTAAATAATCGAGTCTGGACCAGACAATCCAGTGATTGGGACACGAAGACATGCATCAACAAAGTCAGCGAGTCTGACCACCAGAACCGGTTAGTCGCTAGGTCTAACGAAAGGAAGACATCATAAGAACGCTAGATTTGGTCTTAGGTCACTTAAACTATTGTATTGTTACATCTCAGAATATTCTACGCCCACATGATGCTAATCTTTGAGAGGGGAAACAGACTTGTCACATGGTACTTGTTGAAGGGTTACGGAAGTCAATTTCCCCATGTACAAATTGATAAAATTTCATTTTGTTGTTTAGTGATGTTTGTTATGCACATCTGTCTCATTTAAAAACGTTCCTCCATTCACAATTACGTTTCAAATGATACTGGTAATTAAATAACATTAAGAAAGGCCATAACTGAAATCTTGGCAAATAAAAGGACGGGCATGTATGGACACACTGTTAACAGGCCCAATTGAGGTATTTATTTATATTTCACATATTACAGTCTATTTTACAAAGTAATATGCTGTCATTTGCATACGTTTGCATGGTATGAATTAATATGATTATAAAACCATCGAGAACTTGTGACTGTTAGACACTTCTCAAACATGGATGTGCCTAGTTTGTAATTTAACCCTAAATGGGCCTCAAATAGCAGGTGCGCGACGTCATCAGTTATAGTGTACTACGTCAAAAACCGCCATACTTAATGTTTTCTGACGTTTAGTGCTGCACCAGGTTGCACTTGTGCCCAAACTTGTTCGATAGAGTCAATTGGCTACTATCAATATGCAGGCACTGCAGAACTGAGGGAAGTAATTGCCAGACTGCTGTTTAAAATGGTTTGACTTTTCCCGTCTTTATGTTTGTGATTAACCGATCTCGCGTTGATGCCACCAGTTCCTGAAAGTCCATGACATTCCATTCTCGATCCTGACAGTCACAGAGCTTACAAGAAACGAATGTAATATTAGACCTGGTTTCCGTCGTTTGTGGTCGTGTCACATCAGTGGTTGTTGGAAATGTGTGACAATATTCAGTTATTCTGTGGACTCTGTCGGATTGGCGTGTACACGGTAAGTGAGTCGACCCTCTAAGCTTTTGGTCTAATCCAAAGTTAGGCCAATGCGAGCAATATTATATGTCGTAGCTAAAAACAAAACGTTTGAAAGCCTAAAGATGATGTTCCTATTTGTTTAGGGTGATGTATGCATTCGGTATTGATTTAGATTATGTAATATGTAGCCACAGGTTTAGGAAAGGAAAGAATCAACTGTCCAGCAAAGACTGCTAGGTATGGGCTAATATGTTCAGAGCTCCAGATAACTTTTTGAGCAATTGACAGAGTTTTCACTCGAAGGTTTCTATTTTGATTGGGTAACCAATAGGTCTTTTCACTCATCTATTCATCACTCTATTGGGTTTTTCCAAAAATGAGTGAACATTTTAAGATTTTTTTTAAAAATGAAATAATTTTTTAGATGTCTAACAGTTCTAAATGTAGGCTTGACTGGGAAAGTAAATTAGCTTGTAATTGTGTTTCCAAAATTATCTCTGTTGTACACATGCTGAAAAAGCTTCAATGGGTAATTATGCAAGCTGTTTTTATACAATGAGTTTTTCAATTAAAGCTTGCGTTTATTTATGAAAGGTAATTGAAAGTAATTCGGTTTTGAATATTTTTCGGGGGTATTTACGCAAATACGCTGCTTATCTGTAGCTCTGTATGTTGCTATAAAAGTGGGGGAAAAAACCTGGTATCCCGAAACACAAGACCACGTAACTAAAATTCTATAATAACAGTCTCAGCCTGCAGCCTCATGTGCAAGTTTTTTCTCGAGATTGTTATACTAGAATTTTAGTTATGGGGTCCTCTGCCCCAAATAACACAGAATGGGACGTGTATTCCACATTAACAAATAATATTAAATTTCACCAAGAGCTTTTATCAGTTGAGTAGCAGGACATACTCCCAAAGGATTAACCTGTGACATGGTCTCTGACAAGAGCCAGACCATTGATTCTGAAAAGAAAATGTGTGTGTGTGTGGTGTGTGTGTGCATGCGTGAGTGCGTGCATGCGTGTGTGCATGCATGTCACTAAACCCAATTTTAAAAAGCATGTGATAGGTTTAAAAAAGAAATGAAAGATGGGGTGGAATGTTGGCGATCTTAATCGCTTAGTGCGGATTATATCTGTTGGCATCACATTAACAATGTTTACGACTACCTTCAATTACACTCTGCACATTCTATAGTGGATTGTGTAAGAGTTCCGCTGATAATTGTCTATAATTGTTGATAATTTGTCTGGCACAACCAGCCTGACACTATCATTACTCATGTCATCAAATCATAGTCTGCCTAAGTAGTGACAATAATCTGTGCTTTCCACAGCTGACTGGCATGACTTCTGGTATTCTGCTTTTTCTGCGACCATTATGATTATATCTATGAGGGTCTCCTTATGATACATATGTAAATATGCATTGACACCACTTAGCGCCAGAGCTACAGATAAGCAGCGTATGTGTGTAAAATACCCCCCAAAATATTAAAAACCCAATTACTTTCAATTATCTTGCGTACAGAAACGCGTGCATTAAAGGACAAACTCAAATGTATAAACACAGCACCTGAAATACCCAGTGAAGCTTTTCAGCATGCGTACAAAGGAGCTAATTTCCGAAACACAATTACAAGCTAATTTACTTTCCGAGTCAATCTTATATATTTAGAACCGTTATATACATCTAAAACATTATTTAATTTTTTTCAAAATCTTAAAATGTTCACTAATTTTGGGGAAAAAACAATAGAGTAATGAATAAATGAGTGAAAAAATATTGGTCACCCAATGAAAAATGTAATAACCCAATTAAAATAGAAACCTTAGAGTGAAAACTCAATTTCTTGAAAGGTTATCTGGAGCTCTGTAGTACTATATATATAACAGAACAATATACCATATTTCCACTAATAGATGTGCATGTATATTTACCATCTATTTAGTGAAGCATCCACTTTGAGCTGGTCTGTGATCCCCAAATATTGTGCTGAGTCCCGGGGCGGTCGGGTAGTCGAGTGGTTAAAGCGTTCGTTCATCACGCCGAAGACCTGGGTTCGATTCCCGACATGGGCACAATGTGTGAAGCCCATTTCTGGTGTCCCCCGCCGTGATATTGCTGGAATATTGCTAAAAGCGGCGTAAAACAATACTCACTAACTCACTGTACTGAGTCCCCTGTACTAGAAAAGAGATACATAAACCTTTGATAAATCACTGCTACCAGCCACAGACCCATCATGTCTGTTATTTCTACACCTGTATTGTAGTTACACTATTAATATCACTTGTCGCTTGCTGTAAATTATTTACTAATTTGTCATACACTTAGAGCTGCCCATTCTACCTGATCTTGTACCAGGACACAAGTTGCTGGAAACTAAATATTAGGGTAAAATATGTTATATTTGGGATTAAGCTTTCTTAGTAAAGTACAAATGCTAGTACTTTTTTGGTCCATCTCAGAGTGAGGCACCAAATCGCCATCACACAAAGTCAGCGACCAAAGTCGCTCGGCCACTAAGGTTTCCGCCAAATGGAAGTCTGACAACTGGTAGTCTAGATCAGGTATTTCGTGTACCCCTCTGATATGTATATAACATTAGGGAGTGTTCCTCAACAGCAGTTGAAACTAACAGTTTTAGTCTACTAGTCCATATAATGATAACATATAGCAAATCCCTTAAAATGGCAAATTTCTACTAGTCCTTATGATACCTTTACTATTGGGCAGTTTGGCAAGGACTACAGGGCCAATGCCAATTTCTAACGCTGCTCAAGGAGGAGTGCATATTATGATGGATGTGGTAGTGGTATATATTATATACACTCATCTTATTAGCGAATGTCAACAGGCATGTGTGATTCCTGATCCATGACAATTCTCCCCCAGACCAAGGCACTTTATTGTTATGGTTGTGATAGAGAAACCCAATGCAGTTTAACTGTTAAAGTCTTCAGTTAGACTTGTTTAGAGTTCTTCAAGTATCAGGTACAGTTTAGTTCAATAACATGACCTTCAGGTTACCATGGTTACCAGAAGGACAAACGTAGCATCATTGCTTATTTGTTCAAAGAAATTGTAGATTGTCACAACTAATATTACCAAAAGTTCATCAAAAGGTTTAATATTATTTTGACGTAATATAATCATAGGCGGGTCCGGTTGTGCTGTCAAATTCATGAAACACGATGCTTTTACCACTAAGTAGAGCACTCTTACGTTACATAAATAGGTTGCCCATGATCTGTGATACAGACGTGCTATGTCAACATCCTGGACCCGCCTCTCACCAGGACTAAAAGTCAAGTGTCTTTATGCATGTTATATTGGGGTCTGTTCTTCGTTGTGCACCATAAACATACCCTCAAAACACTGGACCAGTGCCGCTCAAACTTCACATGCTCGTTCCCACCATTGACACCCCAGTTTGTTCATGAAGTTCAAATCACATTTTTAATATAAGGCTTCTCTTTTGAATTTATTTAGACCATGTTCTTCAATTCTTTCAAAATGTATATTTGGTTTCTCTGAAATTGATTGACCCTGCTGACCGAGGGAGCTGAACTTTGTATGTTTCTCCTTAGGATGAAATCATATTTTGTTCATTTCATTAGAGTTTAGTATTCATGCAGAAAATATTTGAATATCAACTGAACTCTGAGAGCAACTTTTGAAAAGTCCTTTCCATGAGTCCACAATGATGACCTGCTGCATCTTAACGGTGAAAGTGGTCGTCCATATGGACATATCAAGAGTCCATCATCCACTTCAAACAAGCAGTGTCCAAAATAACTGCCTGCCCGCCGGCCCGTGGCTGGTAATTTTTCTGTCGAGCTGCATGAAATTTTCCTCCACCTGCCCAACTCTCTGGAAGATAATTTTAAGACAACTTATGTCTTCAGTTTTCTTATAACTCCTTGTAGGCTTTCAAGTTTTTGTTTGCATTAATTAATTTAATTAAGCTGAATATTGACATGATCTGTCTCTTAGTTTTGGCGATTTGTCAATATTCAAAATTGGTAACTTTGAAGATGGGCAGGCAAAACTGTATTTTTCAGTCTGTAGAGGTTCTCAACATATACTAGGGGCGGTCGGGTAGCCTAGTGGTTAAAGCGTTCGCTCATCACACCGAAGACTTGCGTTCGATTCCCGAAATGGGTACAATGAGTGAAGCCCATTTCTTGTGTCCCCCCGCTGTGATATTGCTGGAATATTGCTAAATGCGGCTTAAAACCATACTCACTCACTCACTCACTTTCAATATATACCACTTTGAGATAAGGATACACTGATGATAGCCATTAAACATAGTTTGATCTTGTATATAACATTGGTTTTACTTGCACATAGGACAGGCATTGAAAATGCATGGCACAGCAACATCATAATCCAGCGTGAAGTGGGCACCCCTAAAGAAAGCCTCACAAGGTTTAGTTCTATGATGCACTGTTATGATGTCACACCACTCATGGTGACAAAGAAAGTATTACGGCAATCAACTGTAGAAAAGTGTCAAATTTCTACCTCTCTGTGCTCTCTAAAAGTTTCAATACTCCTGCTTTGTTAATTTCTATTGTGTTCCAAATGTATTGACACACATACTTGGAATATTGTAGTAACCGCAACTCTGCATTGTGTAACCCTTAATTGTACGTATTGTAAAATTGTGCATATAATTATTTTATAAGGCCTCCCGACAGTGACTGTGAAAGAAGTCCTTTTCTATGAGTATTAGTTTCTGCGGTAATGCAGCCCTGAAATAAGAGGTGGTTATTGGGATTTGATACCTCTGACTGACCTATCCCAAGTCCATGGTAGAATTTCAGTTACACAAATAGTTTACAAATACAGATGATTGATTGGACACAGTAATTCGTGGGAAAGATCTGCATCACTGTATAGAAGGCTGTGAGCATTAGCTAGCTTTGTTCATAAAGCACATCAATAGTAAATACTGAAAACAGTTCTCACAGGGGGACAGGATGGCCATTCCTTCATCCCGACCTCAATTAAATCATCACTCAGAGATTTAGTATGAAGAATATTCAATCTTTGCTTCCGTTAGAAAAAAGCCCTGAGGGCATAGAATTAGAACATGCATTTCCTTTTCCTTGATTAATAATTTGCCACTATCTCATTTTTGTCTTTCTCTTACAATGTCATTCCAAATCCTGATTGCTGGCATCTGGCAAATGCTTTCAGGCATAAACAATAAGACCTGGGTTAACTCTGCATTTCCCAGGGTATTATAGCGCCATTTGATTATGATAAACACCCTGAATCTATCTGACGCAAAGACATCACCACCGCAATCACTCATCACTAACCCTGCACTCACAGCCTCTTACTCATGAGCTTGACATTGACAACCAATAAAAATTGCTCTTGTGAACAAGAATTTCAATATTGTTACAGATCTACCTTCAATATTTAAGGCCTTATACGAGCGCGTCCTCAAAACATTTAGTTACATAAAAAATCTGTTATTAATGAACTTGTTGCTGTAAGATGTTTTTTCTGGGTATCGAGATAGTGGGAGGGAAGTCATCATGCCTTCAGGCGTTCCTAGCAAGCTCCTCACAGCAATGTCTCGTTCGCGGAGCTCTCCATACTATCGCTGCCACCAGTCAAAACTCCCCACTGTGATAGGTCGCCCCAACCATGCTTGGAGTTGAACTCGCAACCGAATGACCGTTATGTTTACAAACAAGTGACGACTGTCGTGACGTCGAATACACTTACCCCTGCTAAATTACTTTCTTTGTTTGTCAATTTGAATTTCTATTTCATTAAAACTATCGTGTTATTGATATAGTAATAATGTAAGGGAGAAGTGGGTTGATTTTCCGTTAGTCTGCAATCTCGAACGAATCTGTTTATACAAACAACAAAGTAAATTCATCTGGAAAACATGGTCAGTCGTAAACCTTTTCAAAATTCACTATCATGGCATTCCCAAAGACATAAACAAAAGTATGAGCGTTACTACATTTGGGGTTAGAGGCCAAATTTCAAGATTCTTGTAATGGACGCGCCCACATTGGTGGCAGCGATGTTACCGAGAGTGTAACGAAGGTGTCACGCGCTGGGAAGGAGCTAGGCGTTCCTAATTGTAGTTGAAACTGCACGACACACAACAAGTCAAGTGATGTTGGTGCCTGTTTCTGTCACGAGAGAACAGTGTCATTCAAGTGTCGAGGAAGTTTATCATAATAGCTTGGAGAAATAATACACTGGGTAATGAAGGATGCCATGGACTATACATTTCCATGCTGCAGAATATCTGTTCTGTACAGTGGTATAACCTAACAGTTTTAGCCCACTCTTCCTTATAATGATAACAAATTGCCAGACCCATAATTATGGCATATTTCTGCTAGTCCTTATGATACCTTAACTATTGGGCAGTTTGGCAAGGACTATATGACCAGTGCCAGTTTCCAACGCGGCTGTATGGTTGAGTTCAGTGTGTGCAGTCACAGTAGCACTGGCCCTGGGGATTCAGGGTTAGATATGTCCCTTACAGCTGGGGCTGGGATGGGGTACTCGGGTTGGGTGGGTCCATTCCGGGTACTCATGGAACTACCCGGACATGCGGTTAGCAGGGCTTTATTTAAGGAACCTAACTTCACCAGGTGCATGTTGACTTGAAAAGCACCAGGATGAACCAGGTCCTCCCTGGTCTCATAAATTTATCAAAGTTTACACATACATGCATAAAATAGTCTAAAGAAGAAACTGTCAGATCTCTGATGACTGTCATGTGTCACAATTTACACATTATTCAGGGATTAGAAAGAGTATCTTGAATAATTTTTTGAGGTACTGAATGTGTTCAAAGTTGATGTTGTGTGGACAGGAAAGGTTTATAGTCAGATAAAAATTTGAAGTTTTTGGTGCATATAGACAAAAATATCAGGTTTCATTTTTCAATAATAAGTTGCACTGGTGCATGTTTTATATAGCGAAATTGAGCCCTGTTTAGTCATGTGATATATTGTTAAATGATTATAACCATGATAACGTTGTTACAGTAAAACTAAAATTCATGTTCACAGCAGTTTCCAAGTGTTAGATTTTGAATTACACAAATTGTGAGTAAACTGTGCCCGTGTTTCGTCAGTGAGAACATGTGTCAGGTTTGTGCAAGTGTGTAAGTTTTCCCTGACGGGAAGTCCCTTGGTTTAAAGTACACATTTAGATTGTTTATGTTTTCATTTTTTCGGGTCATTTAGAGGCGTGGTGTCGGACGCCTCAATTCGATGTGTACATTTGTGCCAGTATGCTTGGTTCGAATCCTGGAATCGCTCCGTTTAAGATCTAAGGTCTGTCCGCACCATATTCATACGCACACTACAAGTTGCTAATGTTTGCATTTCTTCCTGACTACCCATGCATTCCTACTGACTTTTATGTGTTTGAGTAAAGATAAAGCTTTGTCAAATTCAGTGTATGCATCATAAGATATGTTTCAACAAGAAGCTGAATAGTTTTTACCAGGCCTCGGAAAGAACAATTCCCAATCAGACATTTTGTACCAAACTCTTGAGACCTACAGTGGGTACCTGGGTCGGGTCAGACATAGGGGGGTCAGGTACCTGGGTAGTAAATTTGGACTTGGCCCATCCCTACTAGGAACCTATGGTGGTTGTAAGAGGCGACCAAATGGATCAAGTGGTCACTCTTGGTGACTTGGTTGGTTTGGTGTCGCCCGTGAAGATCCGAGGTAGAATAGGTCTTCAGCAACCCATGCTTGCCGTAAAATGCGACTATGCTTGTCGTAATAGGCGACTAACCGGATTGGGTAGTCAGGGTCGCTGACTTGGTTGATGCATGTCATCGATCCCAATTGCTCGATGCTCATGTTGTCAATCACTGGATTGTCTGGTCCAGACTTGATTATTGACAGACCGCCGTCATATAGCTGTAATATTACTGAGTGTGGCGTTAAACAACAAACAAACAAACATGGTTTGATGTCATCGTACAACGGCAGCTTGGATCATTGGTCTCAATATCAATCACTGGATTGTCTGGGCAAGACTTGATTACTTACAGGCTACTATCATATAGCTCGAGTAATGGTGAGTCTGGTGTAGACAAACAAACAAACAAACGTAGAAGTGTAAGTGTGATGTGACATGAGAATGTCCCCAGTGGACTGCTACAGCATCCTGTTTGAGAGGCTGAACTTTGTGGGAAGCCACACAATGGGAAGTGTTGTTCAAGGACTGCTCATGTGGCTCCAGCTGTAGACAGTTGCACACATACTTCAGTTTCATGTTAACATTTCACACAGTGGTGACACTTTAACCAGGCGATTATCTGTGATGAAAAACAAAGTGCAACAACAAATTTGGAAATAATCAAAACAGTGTAATTTTGTTCAGTAATTGGATTTTTTTAAAGGTTTTATTTTCCTTATTTCTGAAGTATATAAATGTTGTATTTTAACATTGCCTTCCCAATGTTCATTATGATGTTGTTAATTTAAACATTAAGACCTCTTTCTCTTCGTCAAATTTTAGGGGTACGGGCCATGTTTAGTGATCAGTGAAGTATAGGCCAGCCTAACAAGGGAACCACATTAGTTATGACTGTATTAACTGAGAATTGTTCCTTGTTCAATGTTTGCTGACATATGAGAGCGAATATCAGCCTCTGAGCAGGTCCAGATGAATTCCTGATAATATTGCACACATTAATTACATTATCAAAGAGTAGTAGCTGTGTTGAGGTATTCATTTCATTCCAAAAGCCAGTGAGTGATTATTGTGTATGAGTATTATGTGTAGGATGAAAATGTAAAAACTGGGAAATACCTTTTGGTGAATGAGTTACAGCTCTCGGAGAGAATTAACTTGTTTGTTATGGTTAGTTGCTAAGCAGTTCATTTGTTGTAAGACCACTACAGCCTTGTCTCCATGGTATAATGAGAAGTTCAGGCCCTATCTTCCTCTTGTTTCACGGAGTGTGTGAACATGCAGAATGAGTATTTTAGTCATATCACCTTCAGTGTGGGAGGATAGTTTAAGGTAACACAGGTCCTACCAATGAGGTTTTTTTTTTCTTTTTCATTTTACAAGACTGACCGCTGAGATTTTATAATTACTGTTTGTAAGAAATGGTAAATACAGTGATCCCTCGCTACAACGCTACCTGTACGCTGTAATATGTATAAAAATCTTCTTTATTCTAAGGAGATACCGAATCAGTTATCTTTCGTTGTCGTTTCGCATTCATACTGCTGTTATGGTGTGACTTACAAGTTTCGTTTTCATTCCTCAGCAGTACTGATCTGGAAGGGTTTTTTATTTTGTTTCAACCCCTGCATTGAATGTTAGGCCAACAAATTTGTAGACCAACTGACACACAAAAGGGGCAACTTCCCACTTGGACCCTTGTGTATGAGTAGGATGGTGGACAACAAGGATCAAAATTGGTGGGTCGAATCTGGGACCTAAGGGACACAACTCTGTACATGCAAGTGCATGTCAATCAGGGCCAGTGAATGTGACTATTGATCGCCCCACACGGTCGGAAAAGCTTCTGTGTTATATTCTAACGCTTGTATTTCTTTAATATGAAATACCATATTTGTGTTGTTTTGAACTTTATATATTGTTTTCATCAATGTTATTAACCTTGCCAAACCTTTTGTAATTCAAAACTGAATTATTATGTTTGTGAGAACTAGGTGAAAACACTAAGATCACTCTGTGAATTGAAATTTAATGTCTTGATATGTTAAGAACATTCATACTTATATTTCAGTTGTATCGCCGACTGTGTTGCAAGAGCAGCCCGGAGACAAAGCCCAACTTCAATGTGCTCTGCATCGGGCTGACGGGGGCTGGGAAGAGTGCCCTACTGGCTCTGCTCAGCGGGGATGAGTTTCACAACATTCCACCCACCGTGGGTAAGTCACCGGGCATCAGGGGGTGGAGGGTTGTGTACGTGGGGGTGGGGAAGAGTGCTGGCTCTGCTCACTGGGGATGAGTTCCACAACATTCCACCCACCGTGGGTAAGTCAACGGGCATCAGGGGGTGGAGGGTTGTGTGCGGGGCAGGGGAAGACTCCTGGCTCTGCTCAGTGGGGATGAGTTCCACAACATTCCACCCCCCGTGGGTAAGTCACAAGGCATCAGGGGGTGGAGGGTTGTGTACCTGGGGGTGGGGAAGAGTGCTGGATCTGCTCAGTTGGGATGAGTTCCACAACATTCCACCCACCGTGGGTAAGTCACAAGGCATCAGGGGGTGGAGGGTTGTGTACGTGGGGGTGGGGAAGAGTGCTGGATCTGCTCAGTGGGGATGAGTTTTACAACATTCCAGCCCCCGTGGGTAAGTCACAAGGCATCAGGGGGTGGAGGGTTGTGTACGTGGGGGTGGGGAAGAGTGCTGGATCTGCTCAGTTGGGATGAGTTCCACAACATTCCACCCACCGTGGGTAAGTCACAAGGCATCAGGGGGTGGAGGGTTGTGTACTTGGGGCTGGGGAAGACTCCTGGCTCTGCTCAGTGGGGATGAGTTCCACAACATTCCACCCACCGTGGGTAAGTCACTAGGTATCAGGGGCAACGGCACTAACATCTGTTCTCAAATTAGTGAAATGTTGCACTGAAAGAATAAGGAAGTTGAACTGTTTTCGTTGTTTCTATAGCTTCTAAGATGCCACTGAAAATAAACAAACATTACATGTGTTGGTAGGAAACAAGATATTGTTGCAGAGTTTGGGGAGAGCATGTCACAAAACAATGACATGATCATTCCTTCATTTCAATGAGTGACAGCGGGCATGTATACGAGATGTTCAGTCCATGCACAAGTCTGTACAAAGGAAGTGACTATGTGAGAAGCACATCAGGCATAGGAAACAGGTTATAATATCATCTTACAAACTTTCGGCAAGACATGTTTTTATCACCTGTGATTGACAAAATGGTTTTCCGTGGGCGAGTGAAATATAGTTTTAAAGATGGCTTGGGGCTCTGTGTTTCACTTCTCAAAGTTCTAACAAGATTTCGGTGATCAACATAAAGCATTTCCCCTCTTAGCTCCGTCTCTGCAAACAAAACAGAAATTGCTTCAGCCATGGGCAAAGTCAGTGCGGACTTGGCCATCAAAAATAGACCTGATCTGATCCAGAGTTGGACATCAAAAGTTGGGAGGGTCGTAATTGTTGCCCAACTCTAAATAAATGAGATGAAATGTCGGTGAGTGTTGGCGGAACGAGTTCGGTACAAGTGCCGATGGGCAAAGAAGCCATGTTATTTGATGATGGTGAAATGTCACACAAATAGTGTGGCAATACAAAAATGTTCATTTACATGCTGACACAAGCAGAGTTCCAAACTTTATTGATTGGAAATAGTCTGTACCATCAGCTCGACATACAGAGTCTTCTGTCTTCTGCAGCAGGATGCCATCATTACATCCTGGTACTTGTCAAAATCAAAGTGGCCTCACTGCTTATTGTGTTACTGTTGTGGTATTGGACATTTAGCAACTGTCCCTAACCTTATGAAACCAAGGACGTGAAGAAGCTGAAACCCTGCATGGTTGATCCCGCAATTAGACTTTTTCAAGATGGTTCACATCATCTCAGCCTAATGTGTAGTGTGCAGCATGGCAGCCATGTTGATAAGACTATTTTTGGCTCTTGGCCCCCAGTTTTAAAGATAATGTGATGAAATTGGATATGTATGATATGTGAAACATTTACTTTTTATCTTTTTTAAATACATTTATATTTCAGTGACATTAATCTGATTTTGGCAATGCCAGCTAATGTATCAATTTCATTTTCTGCTTTTTCTCTTAAACAACAAGACTGATTAAACTTAACGTTGAATTTGTACAGATTGTCTCCATCCAATGTATAGTTTGATAAGGGAATTTTTTGCCATTGGTAGGTGGTTAGTTTGTCTAGTATTGGTTTAAGATTCTCAATTTTTGGATGGTGTTCAACATGTTGAATGACTGGATGGTGTTTGTGTTGAATGACTGGATGGTGTTCATGATTTTAAATGACTGGATGTTCATGTTGAATGACTGGATGGTGTTCATGTTGAATGACTGGCTGGTGTTCATCATGTTGAATGGCCGGATGGTGTTCATCATGTTGAATGACTGGATATGTTCATGTTGAATGACTGGATGGTGTTCATCATGTTGAATGGCTGGCTGGTGTTCATCATGTTGAATGACTTAATATGTTTGTGTTGAATGACTGGATGGTCTTCATCATGTTGAATGACTGGATCTGTTCATGTTGAATGACTGGGTGGTGTTCATCATGTTAAATGACTGGATGGTGTTCATCATGTTGAATGACTGGATGATGTTCATGTTGAATGACTGGTGTTCATGTTGAATGACTGGACGGTGTTCATGTTGAATGACTGGATGGTGTTCATGTTGAATGGCTGGAGGGTGTTCATCATGTTGAATGACTGGATGTTCATGTTGAATGACTAGATGGTGCTCATCATGTTGAATGACTGGCTGGTGTTCATCATTTTAAATGACTGGATGGTGTTCATGTTGAATGGCTGGATGGTGCTCATGATGTTGAATGACTGGATGGTGTTCATTATGTTTAATGACTGAATGGTGTTCATGTAGAATGACCAGATGGTGTTCATCATGTTGAATGACTAGGATTTTGTATATGTTGAATGACTGGATGTGTTCGTGTTGAATGACTGGATATGTTCATGTTGAATGGCTAGGTGGTGCTCATCATGTTGAATGACTGGATGGTGTTCATTATGTTTAATGACTGAATGGTGCTTATCATGTTGAATGACTGGATGGTGCTCATCATGTTGAATGACTGGATGGTGTTCATCATGTTGAATGACTGGATGGTGCTCATCATGTTGAATGACTGGATGGTGTTCATTATGTTGAATGACTGGATGGTGTTCATCATGTTGAATGACTGGATGGTGTTCATCATGTTGAATGACTGGATATGTTTATGTTGAATGACTAGGTGGTGCTCATCATGTTGAATGACTGGATGGTGCTCATCATGTTGAATGACTGGATGGTGTTCATCATGTTGAATGACTGGATGGTGCTCATCATGTTGAATGACTGGATGATGTTCATGTTGAATGACTGGATGGTGTTCATCATGTTGAATGACTGGATGGTGCTCATCATGTTGAATGACTGGATGGTGCTCATCATGTTGAATGACTGGATATGTTCATGTTGAATGACTAGGTGGTGCTCATCATGTTGAATGACTGGATGGTGCTCATCATGTTGAATGACTGGATGGTGTTCATGTTGAATGGCTGGATGGTGCTCATCATGTTGAATGACTGGATGGTGTTCATTATGTTGAATGACTGGATGATGTTCATGTTGAATGACTGGATGGTGCTCATCATGTTGAATGACTGGATGGTGCTCATCATGTTGAATTACTGGATGGTGCTCATCATGTTGAATGACTGGATGTGTTCGTGTTGAATGACTGAATGATGTTCATGTTGAATGACTGGATGGTGCTTATCATGTTGAATGACTGGATGGTGCTCATCATGTTGAATGACTGGATGTGTTCATGTTGAATGACCAGGTGGTGCTCATCATGTTGAATGACTGGATGGTGCTCATCATGTTGAATGACTGGATGTGTTCATGTTGAATGACTAGGTGGTGCTCATCATGTTGAATGACTTGATGGTGCTCATGTTGAATGACTGGATGTGTTCATGTTGAATGACTAGGTGGTGCTCATCATGTTGAATGACTGGATGGTGCTCATCATGTTGAATGACTGGATGTGTTCATGTTGAATGAGTAGGTGGTGCTCATCATGTTGAATGACTGGATGGTGCTCATGTTGAATGACTGGATGTGTTCATGTTGAATGACTAGGTGGTGCTCATCATGTTGAATGACTTGATGGTGCTCATGTTGAATTACTGGATGTGTTCATGTTGAATGACTAGGTGGTGCTCATCATGTTGAATGACTGGATGGTGCTCATCATGTTGAATGACTGGATGTGTTCATGTTGAATGACTAGGTGGTGCTCATCATGTTGAATGACTGGATGGTGCTCATCATGTTGAATGACTGGATGTGTTCATGTTGAATGACTAGGTGGTGCTCATCATGTTGAATGACTGGATGGTGCTCATCATGTTGAATGACTGGATGTGTTCATGTTGAATGACTAGGTGGTGCTCATCATGTTGAATGACTGGATGGTGCTCATCATGTTGAATGACTGGATGTGTTCATGTTGAATGAGTAGGTGGTGCTCATCATGTTGAATGACTGGATGGTGCTCATGTTGAATGACTGGATGTGTTCATGTTGAATGACTAGGTGGTGCTCATCATGTTGAATGACTTGATGGTGCTCATGTTGAATTACTGGATGTGTTCATGTTGAATGACTAGGTGGTGCTCATCATGTTGAATGACTGGATGGTGCTCATCATGTTGAATGACTGGATGTGTTCATGTTGAATGACTAGGTGGTGCTCATCATGTTGAATGACTGGATGGTGCTCATCATGTTGAATGACTGGATGTGTTCATGTTGAATGACTAGGTGGTGCTCATCATGTTGAATGACTGGATGGTGCTCATCATGTTGAATGACTGGATGTGTTCATGTTGAATGACTAGGTGGTGCTCATCATGTTGAATGACTGGATGGTGCTCATCATGTTGAATGACTGGATGTGTTCATGTTGAATGACTAGGTGGTGCTCATCATGTTGAATGACTGGATGGTGCTCATCATGTTGAATGACTGGATGTGTTCATGTTGAATGACTAGGTGGTGCTCATCATGTTGAATGACTGGATGGTGCTCATCATGTTGAATGACTGGATGTGTTCGTGTTGAATGACTAGATGGTGTTTGTGAAGAATGACCAGGTTGTGTTCATCGTGTTAAATACTGGGTGTCTTTTTTTCAGGTTTCAGTATCAAAGCTCTGATATTTGATGACTGCATATTGGATGTGAAGGAATTGGGAGGTATGTTACAAGTTTTATGTTTATTGATTTGATAACATTGTACCAGATTTTAATAAGTTTGGAGCATCTCTCCTATAGCAATTCCAGGTCAGAATAGATCCCAGTGCCCTTGCTTCTTACCTCTAGGGGATTCAGGGCAGATCCCAAGTGCCCTATAGCTATTTTGATCTTCTCATGGGGACTACTGGGCAGAATAGACCCAATGCTGGAATATTGCTGACTGTAGTGTAATAGTGTAATGATTAAATGACAAGTGAAACTTGAAGTTTCATTTCCAGCAAAGTCACAAGCATGATCATGAACTGTGTGCAATACATTAGACATACATCACTGACAGAAATAGTTGCATTGACTGATTAGATATCCTTGGTCATGGCATGATGAACAGGCAGCTGGAACACTGCTAACAGATGGGAGAGACCTCTCCAGATGACAGCTACCTCGTTACCAGGTATCTCCTGGTGAGATTGCAGTTGGCAAACATACAGCCAACATGTAGGGACAGGATGTTGTGTGAAATCCGTCATGCTTCATTGGCCATCATAAAGTATTCACACTGTTCATGCATCTCAGTCTTTTGAGGCCAAACAAATTACTGGTGTTTATGTTAACATGTTCTTATGAAATATAATCACAATGGGTCTGTAGAAAGGTATACAAAATGTTTTTATGTACACACAATGCCATTTATAAAGTGGTCAAATGTAACCATGCCGTGATATTGCTGGAATATTGCTAAAAGCAGCGTAAAACCATACTCACTCATTCACTTACTCAAATGTAACAAATGTTAGATTTTATTACTTTTGTGAGTTGAATCCCATCCGAGACCTCGAACCCACACTGCCAGAATGAGGTACCTAATCGCCATCACACAAAGTCAGCGATCTAACCCACACAGCCACCGAGGCTTCCACAGCGGTGAAAGTTCGACAAGTGGTAGTCTAGATCACTTACTTTGTGTCAGTACCCCATGCTTGTCATCAGCGCCACCTTGAATGTGGATCACCTGGTCACAATGGTTGGTCATGCAGTATGAAGACATGGGTGTAGATCCCAGTACCCCATGCTTGTCATCAGCGTTACCTTGAATGTGGATCACCTGGTCACAATGGTTGGTCATGCAGTATGAAGACATGGGTGTAGATCCCAGTACCCCATGCTTGTCATCAGCGTTACCTTGAATGTGGATCACCTGGTCACAATTGCTAGTCATGCAGAATGAAGACATGGATGTAGATCCCAGTACCCCATGCTTGTCGTCAGCGTTATCTTGAATATGGATCAGCTGGTCACAATGGCTAGTCATGCAGTATGAAGACATGGGTGTAGATCCCAGTACCCCATGCTTGTCGTCAGTGTTACCTTGAATGTGGATCAGCTGGTCACAATGGTTGATCATGCAGAATGAAGACATGGGTGTAGATCCCAGTACCCCATGCTTGTCGTCAGCGTTATCTTGAATATGGATCAGCTGTTCACAATGGCTAGTCATGCAGTATGAAGACATGGGTGTAGATCCCAGTACCCCATGCTTGTCGTCAGCGTTACCTTGAATGTGGATCAGCTGGTCACAATGGTTGGTCATGCAGTACGAAGACATGGGTGTAGATCCCAGTACCCCATGCTTGTCATCAGCCCCACCTTGAATGTGGATCAGCTGGTCACAATGGTTGGTCATACAGTATGAAGACATGGGTGTAGATCCCAGTACCCCATGCTTGTCATCAGCGCCACCTTGAATGTGGATCAGCTGGTCACAATGGTTGGTCATGCAGTATGAAGACATGGGTGTAGATCCCAGTAACCCATGCTTGTCATCAGCGTTACCTTGAATGTGGATCAGCTGGTCACAATGGTTGGTCATGCAGTATGAAGACATGGGTGTAGATCCCAGTACCCCATGCTTGTCGTCAGCGTTACCTTGAATGTGGATCAGCTGGTCACAATGGTTGGTCATGCAGTATGAAGACATGGGTGTAGATCCCAGTACCCCATGCTTGTCGTCAGCGTTACCTTGAATGTGGATCACCTGGTCACAATGGCTAGTCATGCAGTATGAAGACATGGGTGTAGATCCTAGTACCCCATGCTTGTCGTCAGCGTCACCTTGAATGTGGATCAGCTGGTCACAATGGTTGGTCATGCAGTATGAAGGAATTTCTGGGCTCGTTCACCGTGCCTCCAGTGTGAATTACAAGTTGTGTCTCCCTGCTATGTCCCTCCTACTGACCAATCAGATGCCACCTATCATATTACTTGCATTTTCTTCAAACAAGATGGCAGTGCCCAGTCAAGATGATCTGATCGATGATCAAGATCTATATTGTAATAAAACGGGTCTTACCACGCGAAGTGCATCAAATCACTTGAGCTTCTTAATAAAACACATGAAAAGATTTGGAAATATCTGTCGATGCCCAGTTGACAGTACACATCCTCTGCAAATCCTGCTTTCGACCGAAATCTGCACATTGAAATCCTTGTTTACAAACCGGATTTCGATTTTGCAACACAATTTTAATTGGACTATGCATAAACTCGTTAGTCAATCCAAAATATAACTCCCTTATCCCAGCTATGCTTCGGCAAGGGTTGAAACTGGAGTTTTACAGTCAGTTAGCTCCCTTACCTCGGGAGGATGTCATCTGTAGCGACCTTGAGACAATAAAATGAAGTGGGTTGTTGAGTAGTGAGGTGGGTGGGGATAAAAACTGATAATTTGTATAATATATTATATTCTGACAATCAGGTTATAGTCATTGGCTGACAGTTGAAATATAATTTATATAAAATTGATTTATGAAATGTAAGTGTGCCTATAGACTAACATCTAGTCTTTGAAATGAACATATCTTACAGAAATTAACAGTTGTTTAATTATCTCAATAAAAATATAATAAAAAAGGAGCCCAGGGGCTCTCTTCATTTTCAGATACAGCAATCTAGACTTGCCAAACATTATAGACTTGCAAAAGCTGTATTGGACATATTTGTTTCCGGGTCTGTACGGCAGACTAGTGTGCCTCTAAACATTAGCTTGAGGAATGAGTAATGTTTGTGTTGGATGAATTCAAGTAGTTAGTAGTGCGATTCTGAAGTGATGCCACAAGACAGCTGTAGGCTGGTAGGGGACAATCCCTACCGATGCTGAAGTGATGCCACAAGACAGCTGTAGGCTGGTCATGGGCAATCCCTACCAATGCGGAAACGCGGAAAATCGCGTTTTTTAAAACAGTAGTCCTCGGGAAAAATCATCTTCCTCTTAAAAATATAATCAAAGATTTCTAAAAAAACACTCCGAAAAATATGATCGAAAACCGGACAATCGTCGCGGATTGTATTGTTTTCGATCAGAGCTTTCAGCAGCATAGGTTTTCGGACATCATACGTTTTCTATCACGAATACTTGCACTATAACGTGGGGTGTGGCGTCACACAGATGGCTTGTTTTTAAGATAAAGTTGTCTTTTAGCCTGTAAGTGAATGAGATGTTTTACCGTTGTTCATGTGATTAGCAAGAAAACTGTGAATGTTTCTTCAGCTTCCAAAAACCCATAACATGGGGATATATGTTGTATAAATGTCGTATGTTTGCAATGGAGTTTTGTTTTTTTCAACAAAAGGTAAGTAAGTACAAGGTAAGTTTTTTTCAGTATGCTTCAACATGGGGAAAGGGTCAGACATTGCACGCTTGTATCAGTTGTCCTTGTGTCTGGGGGATGGGGGGTTGAAGTTTATGGCAGTATTGCTCCCAGACCTGGCGGGTAGCCAGGTGCGCGGAAGCTATGCCCGATTTTTTAAAAGTACTGATTTAACTTCGAAATTTTACTCCATCTGCCATCTTGTTTATTTGACTTATTGACTTTTGCCATTGACTTATTACATTTCTTGGTGTGAATGTTGTCCAAACTGCACGAAATTGCTTAAAATGCAATCAAATGTTTAAAAGATTTCAGACCCCCCTAGACTTTTCCTCTTTTTTCGGGAAAACCTGCTCACATCCCTGCTACTGATGCTGAAGTGATGCCACAAGACAGCTGTAGGCTGGTCGTGGGCAATCCCTACTTATGCTGAAGTGATGCCACAAGACAGCTGTAGGCTGGTCGTGGGCAATCCCTACTGATGCTGAAGTGATGCCACAAGACAGCTGTAGGCTGGTAGGGGACAATCCCTACCAATGCTGAAGTGATGCCACAAGACAGATGTAGGCTGGTCATGGGCAATCCCTACCGATGCTGAAGTGATGCCACAAGACAGCTGTAGGCTGGTTGTGGACAATCCCTACCGATGCTGAAGTGATGCCACAAGACAGCTGTAGGCTGGTCATGGGCAATCCCTACCGATGCTGAAGTGATGCCACAAGACAGCTGTAGGCGGGTCATGGGCAATCCCTACCGATGCTGAAGTGATGCTACAAGACAGCTGTAGGCTGGTCGCGGGCAATCCCTACTGATGCTGAAGTGATGCCACAAGACAGCTGTAGGCTGGTCATGGGCAATCCCTACTGATGCTGAAGTGATGCCACAAGACAGCTGTAGGCTGGTTGTGGGCAATCCCTACCAATGCTGAAGTGATGCCACAAGACAGCTGTAGGGTGGTCATGGGCAATCCCTACCGATGCTGAAGTGATGCCACAAGACAGCTGTAGGCTGGTCGTGGGCAATCCCTACCAATGCTGAAGTGATGCCACAAGACAGCTGTAGGCTGGTCATGGGCAATCCCTACCAATGCTGAAGTGATGCCACAAGACAGCTGCAATCAAATGTTTAAAAAATTTCAGACCCCCCTAGACTTTTCCTCTTTTTTCGGGAAAACCTGCTCACATCCCTGCTACTGATGCTGAAGTGATGCCACAAGACAGCTGTAGGCTGGTCGTGGGCAATCCCTACCGATGCTGAAGTGATGCCACAAGACAGCTGTAGGCTGGTAGGGGACAATCCCTACCGATGCTGAAGTGATGCCACAAGACAGATGTAGGCTGGTCATGGGCAATCCCTACCAATGCTGAAGTGATGCCACAAGACAGCTGTAGGCTGGTCGTGGGCAATCCCTACTGATGCTGAAGTGATGCCACAAGACAGCTGTAGGCTGGTCGTGGGCAATCCCTACCAATGCTGAAGTGATGCCACAAGGCAGCTGTAGGGTGGTCATGGGCAATCCCTACTGATGCTGAAGTGATGCCACAAGACAGCTGTAGGCTGGTCGTGGGCAATCCCTACCGATGCTGAAGTGATGCCACAAGACAGCTGTAGGCTGGTCGTGGGCAATCCCTACTGATGCTGAAGTGATGCCACAAGACAGCTGTAGGCTGGTCGTGGGCAATCCCTACCGATGCTGAAGTGATGCCACAAGACAGCTGTAGGCTGGTCGTGGGCAATCCCTACCGATGCTGAAGTGATGCCACAAGACAGCTGTAGGCTGGTCGTGGGCAATCCCTACCGATGCTGAAGTGATGCCACAAGACAGCTGTAGGCTGGTCGTGGGCAATCCCTACGGAGATGTCAGCATGCCCATGTTCTTACCTTGTTTGTGAGGTCCATCTGGTTGGATGATCATCAGCTGTCAACAGCTGTCACTTTTACAACCTGTTACATACCAGTAATTTACGATACAAATCTGAAACGCTGATTGTCCTAGATATGCTCGTTTGTTTATGGCTGCAGTATATGTACATACCCAATGTTCGTTGTCAGGGCTCTGCAGGTGGCCCAGTGGCTGGAGAAGCTACAGTTCCCATCCCTTAGGATGGCTGTAGGTTCAAATCCCAGATTGCCCTGATTACCGGTATGATTTAGCTTAGTCTGTCATCCAGTCCCTGAAACAAATATATCCAATACAGCCTATGCAAGTCAAATATTTGGTAAGTCTAGATTACTGCAGTATCAGGATGAAAATGAAGAAAGTCTCTGGGATCCTTTTTATTATATTTCATGATTGTAATTTAACAACTTTTTATTTTTTTAGAGTAAAATATATTCATTTCAGAGACTTGATGTCAGCTTAGATTTAGCTTGTCACAGGGATTGATCTAGACCTGCACAGAGGCCGATATTCGGCCCCCATGTCAGTGCAAATTCCCAACTTGGAACAACAGATTACCCAATTCTTGTAGTTATAGTTATAACTAATGATATGGCTTTGTAGTGGTGACCAATAAAGAGTATCTAATAGGCTTTATTAATACTGCAGTGTTCTGCCGAGGCAGCGCCCTGCACAATAATCGCAATATTTTATCGATTGACGCATGATATTTACTCTCACTGGGACAAGGGGCGCTTCCATGTAGATGGGTTTATTTTATATAATTATGGTTATTAGTCACTACCTGTCTCAAAAACAGTTTACATCACTCAGATAGCTGCTTCTATTATTGAATGTAAACATCGTGATTTTTGTTGCCTTATGTGTCTCAATTTACAAACACCTTTCATATGCTGAAGGTCACAAATCAGAATCAAGTATACAAATTTTTCAAATAAAGTTGTCATAGTTTTGATAATACCAAAGATGTTTCTGTTTCAAATGATCACAGAATCGCCGTCCACAAGTAATGTTAGCGATACACAGAATGTTTCACATGGCTCACCATGGTGTCAGAAAGGCAGAAAAACTTAGAAAGGTAGAAATTTTCAGTGAACATGATTTCTAACCACACGTGCTTGCAGCATAACTAAGAAAGAAATACTATGATTTGGCTGCTTTGTGTACCGGTAAGTCATGTGAAATCTAATTCAATAACAAGCATTCTAATTTAGCAATGAGTACCTTGAAGAGACATGCTAAGGGCAGTGATCACAAACAAAGTGTTGAGGCTTAATATATGACATCAGATGTTGCTGCTGCAATAGGTAATATCTGAGAGAGATGCCCTGTAAAAATTCTGTGTATCACTAACGTTACTTGTGGACGGCGATTCTGTATCCATAATCTGCATACCATAGGGATATAAGTTTCATATCAGAGTTTGGCCCCATAAGTTTTGAAAATGACTTATTTGATCTGAATAATAGATAAATCTCTGTCAGTTAAATAACATTGCTGGTGGGTTTCACCAAGTGGTAAACACACATAGCCTACATCACCACGTGGTAAACACACATAGCCTACATCATCAAGCTCCTCGATCCCAACCCACTCACACATCCGATTTCTTAACACTTGAACTATGTATTCAAGTCGTGTGTCAAGTGTTTAAAGCCACATGTATAACATCATGAGCACGGTTAAAGAACATTTATCCTGTCAAGGCATGACAGATTAACTATAGTAATACACTGATGGAATAAAATAAAGGATCGCATAGATGGTGCAGACATAAGATTTTAATACAACACTTGATCAAATGAAATCTACATGGCAAATAATGACTTAATCTCAATTCTTCAGTATGACGTGTGACCACCACGATCTCTCACAACAGCCTGACAACGTCTTGGCATACTCCGAATTAATGCCCGGATTGTAGCCCTTGGAACATTATGCCACTCTTGTCTGAAACAGTCAAACATCTCGTCCAGATTACAAGGTTGATTAATGCGATCTCACACCCGACAACCAAGAACGTCCCATAAATGTTCTATCGGGTTAACGTCTGGACTTTTAGTCGGCCATGGAAGCACAACGACCTGGTTCTGCCTAAAAGAATCGGCTGAAACACGAGCAGTATGTGGCCTTGCATTGCCCTGCTGAAACTCGAACAACCGCCCAACTCTGTTAGCGAACGGAAGCACCAGTTAGACGACCATCCATACGAATCAAATCTGTTCGGTTGTCGTAGGTGATTCCACCCCAGACCATCACTGATCCACTCCCGTATCTGTCATGCTGTTTGACAGTGCATGCTTGGTATCGTTCATTACGTCGTCTCCAAACACGTATCCGACCATCTGCATTGTCCATATTGAAACGAGACTCATCGCTGAACATGGTGTATATCCAACGACGCAGCTGTCTGGCTCCATACTGCCTTTCCCACTGTAACCTTCGCCGTTTGTGTTCTTGAGTCATCCTGATTCCTACCACGGGACGGCGACTTTGTAGACCCGCTGAACGCAGCCTGTTACGTACTGTGCGATCACTAAACCTTAGATGTGTGACAAATCTGAACTCGGCATTCACTTTTGGGGCAGGTTTAAAGCGATCCCTCAAACAAATCAGCTGAATCTGACGATCTTGACGAGCTGTAGGTTTCTTTGGTCGCCCACGCCCACGTCTCATGACAACATCGCCGATCTGCCTGTAGGGGTTCCACAGTCGTGAGAGGACACTGATGGACTTCTGAAAGTGTCTTGCAACTTCTCGCAGTGATTGGCCTAATCTCACCATCCCGATTGCCTACCATTTCTCCTTCAAACACATGTAATGTCTTGGCATGTTTCACGCAGTTGATGTCAATGAGATTTGTCTTACAGTAGAAGACTTTATACCCCATTGTGCCATGAAAAGCTACTGAAACACGTGCACTGCATGTCTTTCTATAGGTGATAGCGTTTTGGAGATGTTGACCATGTACTTCCGAAAAATGGTCTAAAAAAAATAACAACATTCGGACTCATTGACCAAACACACTATGCGATCCCTTATTTATTTCCATCAGTATATGTAAGAATTGGGGGTCCTTAACTTCTTTTGAGTAGTGTAAACAAACTAATATAACCTTGGAATACAAATTAATTATCTGAAGTAAAATGTAAGTTTAGAGAGTTAAATATCCAGATAATGTTTCCCGGTTTGTCAGTGCCATACCCCTGCTCGTGGGTTTCACCAAAGTGGTAAATGTCTAAGACCTGCGTCACTTGGGGATATCCTTCCACATTAAGCTGATATGCCATGATATGGCCGGAATTCTGTTCAAAGCTGCATTAAACCCAACTAACTCACTCACTCCATTCAACAGTAGAAAACAGCGTTTTTTTGCTCATTAATTAGCGTTTTCATCTCCTTTTAGCCCCGTGAAGATCCGGGTTAGAATAGGTCTTCAGCAAACCAAGCTTTTCGTAAGAGGCAACTAAGGGAATCAGGTAGTCTGGCTCGCTGACTAGGTTGATGCATGTCATCGTACCCCAATTGTGTAGATCACTGCCCATGTTGTTACTCACTGGATTGTCTGGTCCAGACTCATTTATTTACAGACTGCCGTCATATAGCTTGAATATTGCTGAGGCAGCGTTAAACCACAAGCAAACAAACAAACAAACATCTGCTTTTTACAGGGGGAGAGAATGTCCGTCCATACTGGGACCGCTACTTCGAAGGCAGCCAAGGTATGATCTACGTAGTGGACAGTGCAAGTACGGAGGAGGACTTCGCTACAGCCAAGTCCGAGCTGGGCAAGGCGTTGTCCAACCAGTTCCTGCGAGGGCTGCCGCTCCTTGTCCTGGCAAACCACCAGGACGTAGAAGGTGCCAAGTCCGAGGCTGAGGTATGAAGGGAGAGAACTCTTTAAATTGGAACCCTGTTGAGCATCTGGTCCATGCCAAACTTGTGTGAAATAACAATGTTTTTGGTCTGAAAAAACATGTATTGGGCGTCAGATAGATGAATCAATGAAAAATTAATAAAAGTGGATCTCAAGCAAGAATTGATTTTTCTTTAATTTGTGCAAGCTTGAATCAACTTATTTTTTCTGTATGAAAAAGTGTTTCTCAGTTGTATTTTATAATAACTATGTTTAATAACATGTTTATTTCATTATTTAAAAACAAAGTTCTGCTGATTGACATATCTTAGACATATTAGTAGTTTTTACTGTTGACAGGATAAATTTGAATTTTCTTTTCATGTCTGGAATATTTATAAATATACTTGGAGAATTTGTATATACAACCATCTACACCTTGAAACTGGAATAAATCAAGAGAAACAGATTAAGTTACATTCTGACTATAGTTAGTAATTGGTCAGTGGTTAACCGAATATTTCATAAGTCGATTATGAAATGACAACTTATTCCCAGTTCTCATATTTCACTAGCCAGAGAGGAAATATAGTAGCTATGGGCTACTGGGCAGGCCCTTTACTTTGCACTTCTACCCATGAAGATCCAAGGTAGAATAGGTCATCAGCAAATCATGCTTGTCATAAAAGGTGACTATGCTTGTCGCAAGAGGCGACTAACAGGATCGGGTGGTCAGGCGCGCTGACTTGGTTGATGCATGTCATCGTATCCCACTTGCGTGGATCGATGCTCACAATGACAATCACTGGATTGTCTGGTCCAGACATGATTACTTACAGACCGCCGCCCTATAGCGGGAATATTTCTGAGTGCGGCGTTAAACGACAAACAAACAATCTTTGCCCTTCCATTATAGGTTTCAGTCCAAGATCCTCAGTTTGTCAGTACCATACCAATGCTCATGGGTTTCACCAGTGTGTTAAATATGTGCTTAAATGTGCATTATAGGGCTTTCCACACATTAACATGCGGCTTTGAACCCAACACACTTGTTAACTGAAACACCATTCACTCACTCACAAACTATTTACCGTTGTTTTACCACTTGTGTGTGTCTTGTAGACTGCTCAATTCACAGAAACACCATTCATTCACTCACAAACTATTTACCGTTGTTTTACCACTTGTGCCTGTCTTGTAGACTGCTCAGTTCACAGAAACACCATTCACTCACTCACAAACTATTTACCGTTGTTTTACCACTTGTGTGTGTCTTGTAGATTGCTCAGTTCACAGAAACACCATTCACTCACTCACAAACTATTTACCGTTGTTTTACCACTTGTGCCTGTCTTGTAGATTGCTCGGTTCACAGAAACACCATTCATTCACTCACAAACTATTTACCGTTGTTTTACCACTTGTGCCTGTCTTGTAGATTGCTCTGTTCACAGAAACACCATTCACTCACTCACAAACTATTTACCGTTGTTTTACCACTTGTGCCTGTCTTGTAGATTGCTCAGTTCACAGAAACACCATTCACTCACTCACAAACTATTTACCGTTGATTTACCACTTGTGTTTGTCTTGTAGATTGCTCAGTTCACAGAAACACCATTCACTCACTCGAAAACTATTTACCGTTGTTTTACCACTTGTGCCTGTCTTGTAGACTGTTCAGTTCACAGAAACACCATTCACTCACTCACAAACTATTTACCGTTGTTTTACCACTTGTGCCTGTCTTGTAGATTGCTCGGTTCACAGAAACACCATTCACTCACTCACAAACTATTTACCGTTGTTTTACCACTTGTGTGTGTCTTGTAGACTGCTCAGTTCACAGAAACACCATTCACTCACTCACAAACTAATTACTGCTGTTTTACCACTTGTGTGTGTCTTGTAGATTGCACAGTTCACAGAAACACCATTCACTCACTCACAAACTATTTACCGTTGTTTTACCACTTGTGGCTGTCTTGTAGACTGCTCAGTTCACAGAAACACCATTCACTCACTCACAAACTAATTACTGTTGTTTTAACACTTGTGTGTGTCTTGTAGATTGCACAGTTCACAGAAACACCATTCACTCACTCACAAACTATTTACCGTTGTTTTACCACTTGTGCCTGTCTTGTAGATTGCTCGGTTCCTGGAGCTGTCGGCGGAGACGGGCAAGAGGCAGTGGATGATCCAGGCCTGCTCAGTGGTCAACAAGCTTCAGGTGGAAGCAGGATTTGCTAATTTAAGGAAAGTCCTTCTTGGAGGAAAAGTAACTGCAGCAGAAAATTGTGCTTCAGAGACGAACCGAATTTAGTCGTGAGACACTCGCCATGGTAACCATCGCTAGACAAGGTTCACCCACTGACATGTGACCTGTCCCTTCTATGCAAATAAGAACCTTGTGTCATGACAAGGTCCTAAACGTTTGTCTCCTGAAATATTGTAGAAGAAATGAGACACTGGAAGATTCTTTGAGAGATTATGACGTCCCTTTGCTTTGTGTCCTGAGTACTTTTAAGGCATGCATTTTTTCAAATGATTATTGAGTTAATGTATTTCTTAGTTTTTTTACTACATTTGAACTTGAATCACTTGTTCTTTATAAAAAGTTCAAACGAATCTCAACTTGCTTTTCTTGTAAATCAGATTAAATCATATGCATGTGTTTTCTCGAATATAAAGATTGATTTCTTAATTGTTTGTGATAACCAAGTATCAGTTAATATCATCATTTCCAAAATGGACCCTATAACTGTTTAACTGGAAAGCGACTTTGCAACCCAGTTTCAAACATATAACATTGCATTCACGTCTGTGGATGAAGGTCACACTGGTGAGAATGTTGATATCAACTCATTTTTTAAACTCAGATAACCTTTTATGGAAACACAGTGTGAGAAAATCAATTCACCCATATTATTTCCTGTTTGCATAATAACACATGTATCACCTGTCACTACCCTTGCTCCTGTGTACGAGGGGCTTCTCAAACTGGTTGACTGAATTTGACCTCCGCAATAATGTCTTGTTTTATCAATATCGATCTCACCACACATTTTAGGAACTTTATACCTACCGGTATAACACTTCCAATATTCCCTCCAGAAATACTGGTAGAGCCTGGCTGGCATTATAATCAAGGTCACAGAGATCACCAGTAGTCAGAATATAAAATTTATTAACCTTAGAAATGATTCTGTAAGTTGCAAGTCCTGCTAAATAAGTGAAGCATTTCTTGCATATTCCATATTTAATGAGATATTGTAAAAATAAAAAATCAGATTTGTTGATTTACAACTTTTGTTGCATATGATCTTTCTGCTTCTGTGTTTTCATAAGATGCCAAGACATTACCTGTTCGATGTTGTCAATACTAAACAAAACCTTTATGATTTAGCACCAGTTTTCAAGACTTGAACAGTGACTTCTTCACTTGCTATAGGACAGCCGATAGGACACCTTGAGCTAGTCATTACACTGTGTAGTAATCATATTTCATTACGTGATGTTTTCTACCATTGTCAACATTGTAGTTTTCTTTGTTTAATTTTGGTGATTTCCCCCAAAACAAGTCCTCAAAAATGTGAATGGCATCATTGTAGAATCATTTTTTTGGCATAAGACATGTTACAGTATTCATGTTTCACATCTCATGAATTTATTTGTTAATAATCAAAAGAAACAAACGATGTAAATAGATTAAAAAAATATATATTTATTTTTGCTATCTAGCTACATTAAATGTGCCAAATGTACTTGTCAGTATAACATGTGATATGTTGGAAATATTGCCATTATAAGTGTGTTGGTTTAGGATGATGTATTGTGAACTTTATAGTCACTATCACGATTATGTGCAGCCCTGGTGTGATATTACACAGGTATGAGAAACTATGGCAAGCTAATTCTTAGTTTTATCTGATTAAAGTTGAAACTTCCGTCAGATAATAGTACCTGGGACAATCACTGAAGAATGTAGAGTGACCAGAGTGACTCTCAAACTAACAGTGGCTGCCGATTTGTCTCTGTAATTCATTGTAACTACCTGAGACTATTGACGTACATCTTCTCGAGGCAAGAGAGTTCACTGACTTTAAAAGTCCAGTTTTCACCCTTGCCGAACTAGGTTGGAATTCCTGGGCTCAAACGTAGTGCCACCAGTGGCTATTACGAGTTAAGTCTCTTTTAAGCCTCTCCTATGGACCAATGCGATTCCACCTCTCGTATCACTTGCATTTGCTTCAAACAAAATGGCGGCGCCCAGTCAAGACGATCTGATCGATAATCAAGATCTATATTGTGATTAAACGGGTGTTACATCGCGAAGTGCATCAAATCATGTTAGCACTTTGATTAAAAACATGAAAAGATTTGGAAAATATATTGAAAAGATATTGCAAATCCTGCAATCAACCGAAATCTGCACGACAGTTTATGAACCGGAATTTGATTTTGTTGCACGATTTTGATTGGACTCGTTAGCCCAGCCAAAATGTAACTCCATAATACCAGCCAAGTTCGGCAAGGGTGGAAACTGGACTTTTATAGTCAGTTAACGCTCTTTTTTCTGGAAGATGATTGACATACTAAACAGCTACAATGAATTTGATAAGAAGGCCAGACCCTTTTTTAAGAATAAACAACCTTTATTTGTATGTTAAGCCCGTGCAAGTAGTCCATTACCGGTTGGCATGTTCAAAATGATGTTACAATATTTTCATGTTAATAAGTTTATGTTTTATTTTGGTTATCTTTTAGACACTATTTTGCCTACATTATTCTGCCCGAGAAAGTTCGTGAAATGGAAAGTAAAACTGGTCTGGTCTAATTTAATAAAATACTTTCATTCTTTGGTGCACTGAATTGGTACATTGGTACAGTGGTGTTCCTTTTACTGTGAAAAAACAAATAGTGATGCTTGATTCCCTTTGTTGCTATCTTTGCCATTGCCATTATGAACTTGCGTCAGCTAATATGAATTTATTTGATCTTCTTTGAAAGTATTTTTTGACAAGAGATGCATATTTTCTATATACCGATCACTGGTGACAGTTTCAGTGGAAGGAAGATATTTTCACAATATTTGTACGTGAGTATTACACAAACAGCACACCCTGCACCAGCACCCTTCAGGAAGAGATAGCTGCAGCCATCACAGCCAGAGTTGTACAATAGGACTTGGGCCACTCTAGTCACAAGGAGGGGGCCGGGTGGTCCAGTCGTCTAAGGTGACGCAATTCGCTGTGCAGAGTTGCGTCCCTTGGACACGCCAGAAACCTGTGAATAGGGTTCAATTCCCAGTTGGCCCCTATTATGGTTCAAGGTGTGTCAGCACCATATCCATGCTCGTGGGTTTCGCCAAAGTGATAAACGTCTGAATCCTGCATTACTTCGGCTTTTCTCCCACATCAAGCTGGCATGCCGTGATATAACTGGAATACTGTTAAAAGCTGTGTTAAACCGAACTCACTCACTAGTCACAAGGCAGGATACATAGTAATTTCAACTGATGGCTGGCACATGTATCTACTGTCATGCTTGAAGAATATATTCTCATATTCACTGTATCTCAGCTGTATGTTCAAGTAATGGCATGTGGACCTTTGTGGAATTTTGAAATTCATGTATTGCCTATTATTTGTTTAGTTGGTCTAAAAACCTTTTGGCCTTAAATTCAATGTAGGTGGTTAAATAAAATAAAAAATAACGATGTCAACTTTTAGATTAGTTTTGCCTTTAATGAATGAAACACCAACTTGTAGGTCACACAATCATGGAAGTAAGATTTTGAAATGATACCTAAAGATAATGTTTTTTTGTTGTTAGATTAAAGATTTTTATACATATTATTCGACATTTCTTTTGAACAGCTGTGATCAACTGTCAAGTTTTCGGGGGTTTTCAACTAAAAATGTAAAACAGTCGGACAAAACATTTTTTGTCAAAGGCGATTTTTTTTTTTTTTCTATTTTCAGTTGTGTTTTTGGTCAGTCGGCCTCGTAAACCAACTATACAAAATATAAGGCTTAATGGAGTCACAACACTAGGTGTTTGTCCAGATCATATTGTTCTAACATTGGTCACAGGTGCATGTGCCTGTGTTCCCCCAGTACGTGAGTGTTGATAGTCCTTGTCTGAAAGGACAAGCCAACAGTGTCACTGTTTTACACATATGTGGTATCATTGATATCAGTCTGTTGGTGCCAACTTGTTCGTGCATGAACAAAGTATTCTTTAACTTCTTTTGAGTAGTATATGACATGTCAGCGAACCCAATCGCACATTGTTGAAGCATGCTGTTGCTTAAAAGTGATGTTCACTTTATGGTCTGAAAAAAGTTTCCTTGTATTTCAAAATACTGTTTGTTTGTTGTTTCAAAATGCTGACTCTTATAAATTATTTATAAATGAACAGGAAACAGATTATGGTATGAAGGTACACAGTTGTGTGTATTTGGTTAGAGATGAGTCAATTATCATATCTGACTGAATGATGAGATCTGATTGTTTCACGTATTTATCCCTCCTGGGACGGAAATAAATTTCTGAGCAAGAGAAAAAATCCCTTATACCCAGCCACGAGCAAGTCAGACTGCACTAGGATTTCTGAGAGGAGGAATAAATCTCTTATACCCCTCTTCCAAGCAAAAAGTTGCACTCTTTTTCAATGTCAAGTCAAGAGTCAATGAAAGTCACGTGACATAGCACCAGTTAACATCAGCTCAATCGAACAGCTGTTTTCTGTCATTTTTCAATTTGTTTTAATTCTTTTACAGTGGCTGATTAAAACATGTCAGTAAGATATATTCTTGTAGCAGTATCACTCGGGCTACATGTGTTTTTTTGCGTCCCACATTAAGTTAGAGATGACACAATCAATTGTTATGGCCTTATAGTAAGTATTTTGAATGGAATATAAAAATGAGTGTGTGCATCATTTTTTTTATAGAACTTGGATTTGTCATTCCACTGTGAACTAGTCACAGAATCTTTCTGTCCTGAGCCTCAGTTTACACTAAGCATTCCTTATACCTGAAGATATGTGGATATATTTTTACTATAGATTCTTGTGTTGAAGACTAGACCTGTTTCCTTGTTATCCTGATGTCTGGTTATACATCGTAGATATTGTTGAACCCACTTACTAATACTGTCTGTCATATAACATGTAGCTCAATTGCCTTTTTCCATATATTGTTTCCTTGAACGCTTGAGATACATGGCTGAAGCAGATTGTTGACTGAAATTGGTGTGGAAACACCAGGACTATCAATTTCAGGACCTGTTTTCTACTGAGATAATACTGTATCTATCTGTCTGTGTATATATAGTGTATCGCAACATCGGGAGCCTTTCTTGAGCAGGCACAGAGTGTGTGTGTGTGTGGTGTGTGGTGGGGGGTTGGGGGTGGGGTTAGGACCTGCCTTCTCAAAGTGACTGGACCGTTACTGTGCTACTATTGTTTATATTTGTGTGTATGAGTGTATCGCAGCATCGGTAGGCTTTGCACAATGTTGGGTAGCCTTATGGTTATAGTGTTCGCTCATATCACTAAGGTCCAGGTTCAATGTCCACACTGGCATAATGTATGAAGGGGGCACGGGTGGCCCAGTCGTCTAAGGCGCCGCGATTCGCTGTGCAGAGTTGCGTCCCTTGGACATGCCAGAAACCTATGATTGTGGGTTCGAATCCCGGTTCGCCCTGATTATGTTTCTAGGTTTGTCAGCACCATACCCGTGCTCGTGGGTTTCACCGAAGTGGTAAACGTCTGAGACCTGCATCACTTCGGGCTTTCCTCCCACATTAAGCTGACACGCCGAGATATAACTGGAATACTGTTAAAAGCGGCGTTAAACCCAACTCACTCACTCACTCACTATTGTTTGAAGCCATTTCAGGTGTCATCTGCTGTGATATTGCTGGAAAATTACTAAAAGAGTTATCAATCCAAACTCACTCACAGTTAGATGGCAGGTGCCCCGTCTTGTGCCACTATCAGTAGTCGAGAACAACATGCTATATACGACATAGGGCAAGGGGTCCAGTGATCATGTCACTATCAGCAGACATGGCTTGGTTGGTTGGTTGGTTAGTTGGTTTGTTGTTTAACGCCGCACTCAGCAATATTCCAGCTATATGACGGCGGTCTGTAAATAATCAAGTCTGGACCTGACAATCCAGTGATTAATATCATGAGCATTGATCCACCCAATTGGGATCAATGACATGCATCAACCAAGTCAGCGAGCCTGACCACCCGATCCCGTTAGTCGCCTTTTACGACAAGCATAGTCACCTTTTACAGCAAGCATGGGTTGCTGAAGACCTATTCTACCCCGGAGTCTTCACAGACATGGCTGTACACGTGCACTATGACATGACCACCAGTGCTACACATACAAGACATGACGACAGACAGACATACATACACGCAGATAGACAGACATGTTTATTCAGTATTTCGGCCTTGTGGCCCGGAGTACAATTGAATGTACAAAATATAGTTGTTGTCACATGACGGACAGGACATTTGCTAAATTAACGCTTAGAAATCTTTTTGAAAATGTGTTTAGTAAAGATAGCTACTGACTTAATAGTATTTACATCATGTAGGTTGAGTAAATTGTACGTTACATATGTATTTTCAAAATTTTCTTTGGGAAGCAAAGGCATCGAAGATATACAGGACAAGAAACTTGTCTTCAATAGACCCAGGTTTACAATGTGTGCATATAGTACTTGTATAGTCTGTGTAGACATAGACTTGACGACACCTGTATTCTGACCATAGGAATAAGTGGGAGAGTCCAACTACCGGTACTTGCATGCGGTAGCGTGGCACTGTCACCTCTAAGTGTATTGTGCATGCATCTACGAGCTGCGTATTTTGTGCACATGACCTGCAAAAGCAAACTTTCAAAAGTATTAGCAACTGCAGCATGCATGGTGCCTGCTGTTCATAACTACATCTCTACGTGTCATCACATGGGTCTACCAGTCGAAAATTACCAGAAGTAACATCTTTAGTTTCTTATAGGGATTTAACCGAATTTAAATTGACACTTTTTAAGAAAGTTTAATGGTACTGCTAAATGTTGTCCTGTGTAAGCTTGTAGTTTTGTATGTTAATTGAAGTGAGAGTCATCATTTCTGGTTAATGAGTTGTAGAGATTCTTCTCAGT